GAATCATCAAAACTTTGAAAATTAGTAAAACTATTTTTGTTTTTGATATTTTTGGATCAAGCGGAATTGGAGAGTTGAAATCAAAGTGATGCAAGTGTTGGAGTAAAAGTGCATCATTGGTTAACGGAGAATGCAGTGATATTTTGCGAGATGTTTTAATTTGATTTTAATTGAGTGCATATCGTGCATCAGTAAATGCTAATACAAATCACCAAAGTATCATTCTCAAAAATGTGTTGTTTGGATCTATATTAATGTTGTTTGTTGAATAAGCGTAACTGTTAAACGGTGTGTAAACTGCAATTATGAGCCACTGATATACCTTTATAATTCCGTATAAACTACAAAAGATTTTTAAAGCAAGGTATTTGGGATTAGCCTAGGGTAAAAAGTTACGAAACATGCACTTCAGATCACTGGTGTTATACTTTATTTGCTTGTTAATTAAGTACATAATAGAATTTAATAAATGACAAGAATATATAATTTACAAAATTAATAAACTGCAAACATAAAGTATTTGAACATTTATTATTTATAAATACCTTTGAAGTTACAAGCAAGCCATCGTCTCAAGCCACGGTTCGGAGTCCGCATATAGCTCTCTCAGAATGAGAAAGGATCGAACATCTTAGCCGTGGTTTGCGATGGTACAATCAAGCTAAAAATCGCATCTTTCGTCATTTTTCTTTTTCAGTTTTTATATGATTCTGGGCGGCAAAATCTCCATCTACATCCTCAATAAGGAGAAGAACGAAGAGGGAGATGAAACCGTCCCCCTAGACCAGATAGGGACCAGGAATGCTAAGGGGCAGCTTGACAGATCCAAATTAGGAATATTTGTCACCCATTTAGGTAAAGTGGAAAATTAGGCCATTTTCTTTTATTGTGATAATGACATCAATTGTTTAATATTGAATAATTCTCTGCAACTTTGCTGTACAAGAAAACAAGAAGTGTGTGGCATGCAACATTCTGCAATTTTCAGTGGTCTTTTTTTATTTTCTAGGAACGGGCGTTCCGTTCGGAGATGTAGCGTTAATGTCCGAAGACTGTGTCCGAACAGCCACGATCATTGCCGAAGAGGAAACGGATCTACTCGTGGTTGACCGAGCTCTGTACAACAGGGCTGTGAAAGAGGTCCTGGCGAAAGAATACGAAGACAAAGTGTCTTTTATTAACAATAACCCACTATTTGCTGCTTGGCCTCCTAGATATAAGAAACAATTGACGATGGCCATGTTTAAGGAGGAATTTACTTACAATACAACTCTAGTCAAACAAGGAGATCCTGTTGATATTATTTACTTTCTAATTAGGTAAAATAATTACACTTAATATTCATTAAAAAAATATTCTTTTATTTTTATTATAATGACCCAAAAGGCAAAAGAGTACTAAGGATTTCTGATACGAAGTTATCATAGTTTTATTATCATTTTACATGTCTATTTTCAAGGTTGACCCAAGGGTTCTCTACCAAATTTAGATTTTTTAAATTAATTATTTTTACATGACATTTTTTTAAAAATCTAAATATGATAGGGAACATATACCAAATAATTATTTTAATGATAGGGGAAAACCATAATTTTTAAATGATGTTTTAATTATTTTCAGAGGTCATGTAGAGCTGCGCACTGACCCCGCAATGCATCCAGTACAGTACCCTAAAATCTACCTCGATACCATGAATGAAGGGGAAAGGTAAAAAACAAATACATTAGAGAAAACTTCCATTTCAAAACAACAGCTTTATGAACAATAAGTGTTTACTGGAAGTGTAATGAAGAAAACTCAAAATTGGTTTTTCTAACAAAAGAAGAGTACAAATGCTTTAGATGATGGTTTAATGATTTTCTATCCTCAAAAAGAAAAGGGAAAGGTTGTTAACCCATGACTGAATTTTGACTACATTAAACATTCACGGAAAAGGAGAATATAAGATGTAGACTATAAGCCTAGTTCAATCTACGAATTATCAAATGATGTAAATTCCCAGAAACTCTACAAAACCTCAGTCACTATTGATTAAAATTGCTTGCACTTCAGTTGTCCTTTGGATTATACTGTTTACACCATGGAATTGGTCAAATAATTATTTTCCTTAGATGTCCGATGCTTTTAGAAGTTATGACACCATAAAACGTATCCAAGCAACTCAATATTTGCCCATCTGTCGAACTTTTATATATAGAACATCTGAGGATCAACGGAAATGATTAAGAAGAAACTCAGTCCATTGATTCTATTTTTATTGTTGATAAAAATCACCAAGCTCCGTCATTGGGTGGTTGCAGATTATTATTTACTTTGTTGTTCTTTTGAAGTTCAACCTTTCTAGATCTGAAGAATTGTTCTATACTTATGCAGAGATAGAAACGATTTGACAAAACACTCGAAAATCGAGTTTAACGAACGCTGAAAACAAAATGACTTTTTCCCCATTAATTCTGTCCATTGTTAGGGAAAATTATCAGAACGAATTTCTGGCTTGTTGCATTTACTTTTATTCCATGTATACCGGGGTCTACAGAAAATACGAAACGTTAAGTTCTGCACATATGATAATTCAAATTGTTTTATGCATGTACAATGTTACATATACAATAATTTTTATTTTATGTTATTTTTTTATTTTATGTATTTTTAGGCTGATAAGACGTGACAAAGTTCGACCCCCTACAGAACCCCATTATAACAATAGTACTCACCTCAGGAAAAAAGACCATCATAAGCACGTCAAAATGTTTCTGCTTGGCAGGAACGAAAGTGTGGGTAGGTCAAAGAATAACTCAATCGATGTATTAGGAATCGATTGCTTTGATCAATCTCAGTAATCTATGGCATCCTGTAAATTCACAATTTCTAACATAATTTTATACGTGTCAGTTTTTTTTTTTTTTTGAAGGAAATCCTTAATTTTATTTGATATAAAAACAAATATGCAATTTTTCATATTCGTTTCATATTGATAAATTTCCCTTTATGGAGTTGAAATTACATCCTTTAGAATTTTGATTTCGCGTATTTCGTTCAACAGTATGAAAAGTACGACTCTGTAACCTTTTGCTGTACATTTCAGGGGAACTGGAAGTGCTTCTGGGAATGGATACTTACATGCAGACGGCAGTATGCACGGAGAAGGTGGAAGTGTTAGTTCTAGAAATGAAGCATTATGAACGACTTTTTGTGAAGCGCCATCCCAGGACTATTGATGACATGAGAAGGGTTCTAGAAATTAAACTCGAGACACGAATGAAACTTCTCTCTAATAAAACCGAAATACCTTTTCTTTCCCGTGTGAAAACCAAATTAAACATGATTAATAATCCACAGCCTGTTGTGAAAAAGGAAAAAGATCTTCCCTCGCAGAAAATGGCAGAGAAAGAATTTCTGAATCATAAAGGACCTCTCATTGATATGTATGGTCCTGGGAGTGTGTTCTACATGATACGCGTCCGTGAAAAAACGAAAGTCAAGGGATTCGGTTCAAGAGAGAAAAGAAAACCTAAACATAACAATAAAGATTCCAAAGAAAATGAACATTTGCATGCAATCAAGGTCCCACAAACTTTAGTGCTCGCTGCCCAGATGGCAGGGGCCACGAAAGACAGGGAGGTGCTCGAACGTGAAAACACTACCTCTATACGGGCCCCCAGTTCAAAGGGGACTCCTTTAGGACCCAAGTCTGTTCGAAGGATACAGAGTGCAATCAAACCAGACGAAGAACCCATGAACACAAATTTAGATAGTTTTGACTTTGATGACGACAAAGAGACAAGTAGGTCATGGCCGCATGAGACTCGATACGGTACGACTGTGTCCTTCATGGATGCTGAGGATGACGTCAGCTTGTCAAGATTGGAAAGTAAAGTTCGGAATTGGTTGAGTCACGGGAATCCGAAAAGCGGTCCTCAAGTGACTCAGTTACGACGCCTCGCGGTGGAGGTATGTATTTTAAAACACATTATTAGTGTTTTGATTTCAAATAATCCTGCCCTTATATCAAATTGTTTTTGAAGGGATTATTATTTGACTTTGATGGTCTTTGTCATTGACATGTACGTGTTCGGGATTACAAATGTCATCAATTCTTTAAAAGTGTGTGGTCTTAACTTGTTTATGATAGAAAGCTAATAGATGGAAAGATTTTGAATCCTTTAAAACATCTGAACAAATTTAAGCAAGTACATCCAAATATGATTAAGTGTATATAACATGTATTAACCTCTTTAAATGGTCTAAAAACAAAGCTTTTGACCAAATTTTTTATTCGTTTTGAAAGGATCTGGAGAACACACCTAAGCCAGGAAATAGGGTTGTTGTGCACAAGCGCAGTCGGTCTACGCATAGTTCCAGCAGCGGAAATGAAGGGGAGAGTACTGCTTCCAAAAAAGAATCGCCTCGTCAGGAAGAGAAATTTGACAAATACCGAATACTCCTCGCTCATTAATTTCAGCTAGCCAAAAAGATATTTACTTTTCTGTTTTATGTTATACACCCTATTTTCGTAATCATTTATACTGTATAATAAAAAAGACACTTAAATTTTATTACTTTTCTAAGGTAAACTCATTTGCCTAAATGCAACGTAAGTGCCAATGAAAGCTTTCATTTTATATCGAAGAAATTACATATGTAAATAATTCTCCATATTTTTATGTAAAAGTTCCACCCTTTTCGTCCACATGCTTTATGAGATGTATCGAGATCTATGCAGAATTAAATACAATAAAACTTGTTTTGTATATCTTTTTAAGTTGGTAAATGATTTTTTGTAAAAACTTAAAACCCTATAGAATCAGAAAAAGTGATGAGTAAAAGCTTTAGGTTTATAGCCCCCTTCTAAATGGTTTGCACTTTTGTTGTTATTATGTGTCTGAAAAAATGGATAAAAAAACACTGCATTATTGTTAACATAATATTTATAACATGCAAATAAATTACACTTACGTACATTTACATACACAATTTTTTTTTAAAATTACACTGTATAAAAATATTTAATGATAAATTCTAAAAGCAGCGAATTTAATACTGTTTTCATAATACTAGTTCTTAAATCAAATAAGTTTAGTAAATAAATGTTCAATAAATTCATCTCGGTAGCGTAAATGACTGGTAATTCTTTATTAAAGTTTTGTAAAAATATATGATTTGTACGATTATATGCCATTTTTGAAATATGATTGCGTTGTGTTGTATTCCGGAATAAGATTATTTAGCTGGCTAGTTTTTGCTTGAGTGCATTCTCCGTACTGTGTCCAAAAGTTTTGCCATATCGGAACTTTTGACCTAAAATAACAAAATAGATCTATTTGAAATCTAAGAGGTACAACAGAAATAAATCAAATATGCATTTAATCCTGACAAGCGAAAACTTGAAAGGCAAAAAATGTTTGGCCTGTACTGAGTATGTACATTGTATACATAAGCAAGAAATTAAAATTGACAAAGGAAATGACAAAGGAAAAAATATTGACCAGTTCAGGAAAAAAATCAAGTTATTGCTCAAATATATGGAAAAAAAATGCTTCGAATATATGAAAAAAAAATACCCTGTCCACACAAAACATTTGAACTACTATTCAAAATCTAATGCTTAAATACATTTTTAACCATTATATAAACTACACAAATACCGTTTTTCATTGAAATCTACAGGACATTTGAATTTGCTTGGATAATACAGAAAATTCTCGTTATTACAAACTCGACCTGACTTAAAAATAGTTAGATATATGCAAAGATTCTAGATATCCCGGATAAAATACTTTATACACTTAAATCACTTCGGCATATCCATGGTACACTTATGATATAGGGTTCGAGATACTGAAGTTCAACTGTAGAAGTAAATATTCAAAACCTGCCTTTTATAGTTTTGTAAAATAAAAATAATTATCTTACCTGGAATGTGACCTGTATAATGCGGAACAAGACCAGTTTCCACTGGGTAAATAGGTTTACCATCGACCATTTGAGTGGCGGATCTATGAATATTAACGCTCTTTGAGGCCTGTACTGACTGAGATCGGAGGTCGTCTGTGAATTCGTTGAGAGCTAGGTGTGTTATGATTGGATAACCCATTCCTAGCTGACCACGACTTCTGGGAACAAATCCGGTGTAACCTGCATATTCGGAAGATTTGTTTTTAGTGAGATGAATCAAGAACAAAACATTCTAAACTTATATGTACAGACCAATGGATCGTAATTTTATAGTTAACTTTACAAAATGATCAATTAACCTTTTGCATTGAAACTCTAAGTCATGCTTTTCTTTAAAATTCAATATACATGTAAATCTCTACTGATCTAATGCTCAAAGAGAAAAAGGACATGGTCACAAAATCATATATGATATATATTAATTTAAGATTAATTCTTCGATTTCTATCTATAAACCAAACATTGAAAAGAAAGTATTTACTAAAGTGTAAAGATCCCTATTGTGGTATGATCCTTCCCACAGGATAAAGAACAAAATGAACAAATCATAAGATTTTAAAACTCGGAGATGCTGAGGACTTACAGAATTGGTAACGCAAGTCTACACCTAGAACAGAAAGCAAGGGGTCATTAGTAACTTACAGAAAATAGATTACATTATGTTAGAACTTTGGTAAGTAATTACTTACCTGACATGAAATTTTTCCTGGTGTCGTTATTATCCAGGTAATAAGGTGACAGGGGCTGAGAAATCGCGTGTTTGGAGACGTAAGGTTTGGGTTCTCTGGCAATGGGCTGTAAGGGGGTCAGATATCGGCTGCTTATTTCCTGAAAGATTCAAAAACACGATTGGAATTTATTGGCACCGAAAAGCAAACTTCCATCAAAAGAAATGTAAGCTTAAAGTGCAATTAGCATGCTCATTTAAGTTCAAATCAAAGGTATATAGATTCAGAGCAAAAATGAACGTCTGAAACAAAGGTGGGATCACCTATGCATGTCGTCAGTCTCTTGTCTTAGTGGGATAAAACAAGTACACGTAATCCGTAATAATTCAATACGAACAAAATTATCTAAACATTTATTTTGTAATTATACGCCAGTTTGCTATTCGACCTATAGGTAAACAAGTTTATTTTTATACCATAAAATTTCGACCATAAAGTTTTCAAAATGTTGGCTGTAAACGAGATTTCTGATACCCTTGTAACATCATCTTGTTTGCCAATAGCTTGCCTACTTTTAGAAATTTATTTATCAACTTCATCCTCACCCGTATTGGTTATCATTAAGAGATATGATTTTAATGATATAAAAATAAACGTTATCGCGGAAACACTAGTCATTAAATTTATCATTACTATGCATAACATGTATTGTCACAATTTATGAACTTGCATTCTAAGATTGCCATGGCATTTCATTCACAAAATTGCAACCAAGCTTTCAAAAACTGCATTCTACTGAAAACCTTTTCTCCGTAGAATGGACATACCGGAAGTTTCTGTGAGAATCCTGGAGCTACTGGACTTCCGGACTGGATAGCTTTTGCAAGTTTCAGTTCGTTCATCTTATGTTGGTGAGCTTGCTGATCCATTTCAAAATCAATAATGGCGTTTCTACTGTTTAATGCATACCGCTTCCCAAAATAATGTTGACCTTTCGGTATAAAACCTATAAAAAGATTAATTAAAACAATAAAACAAAAAAATGAAAAATCTGCATTTTTAACTTTAATAATTTTCTCAAAATTAGCAAATATTTTTTCCCATTTAAAATTGTCATCAAAAATGAAATACTAGGACTCAAACTTTAATTATATTTTTTTTATGGTTTTACAATTCAGTGAAATTTTATTCATTAGAACTCGTTTACCCGTATATCCCGGCACCATATTTTCCACCAATTTTTGGTCGCCCCAGCTCTGGGTTCGTTTCTGTAATAACTTGGTTCTGGAGTCGGATTCTGGTTTAGGGGTTATATCCGCTAGCACTAATTTACCCGAACTGGCCACCCCGGGGTTTCTCAATAAGTTACAAGTAGTTCTACCAAAGGTTTCACCAATTTGGTATTTAAATTGTGGACAAAAACCACCATATCTAAAACAGAGAGAGTAAATCTATTATTGTTTTGTTTTGTTTTACAGCTAAACGACCAGATTAAGATAAATCCTCTTCAAAAGCTTAACTTTTTTTTAAAAAAGCCCTGAAACAATAGGTTAAAGACCAATTATGTAATTAATATGCAGAACGTAGAGTGTACTAGTATGTTTAATTTTGACAACTTTTCAGATCAATGGATTTTTGTGAAATGAATACGGGTATGAGTATATGAGAGAAGGTTCATCATTCTTAAGACAATTTAGAGGCCTACAATTCGATCAAAGAGTGATAACTGTGGATTTTAAACAACAGATGCATTAACATGGAATTTAAAGAAACTATCATCATTTATGCAGGCACTTTAGGAAAGGAAATATATACGAATCGAATGGAAATTTATTTTCTGTAATTGTTCTTCGTGATATACATATCTGTCATGCATACAGAATATCAACGATGCTTTAATATTTCCATTTCTAATTTTTCTCTCTGTGATAACTCTTTGAAAGTTAGCGCAGTTAATTTCTTGATAATTCTACCGGAATGTAAATTAGGCAGGTCGATAGGTCAGGAGCTAAGGAGGCCTAGTACGCATGCAAATCTCGTGCGCATCTGTCTCTGAGTCTAAGGAGTCCAAATATGCACGAAAATTTCGTTCGGCTGCCGTTGTGTTTGACGCGGTGGGCGAGGACTAATGAAATTGGGATGGGAATCCTCGTGTAATTTAAATCTCTGTCTGCATTTTTAAAGTCTAAATCTACAATTTTAGACAGTGATTCCCTAAATAGAGAATTCAAGATTGTTACAAATAAAATGAAACCAGTTAATGTTCAGACTCAGTGACGTAGCATCGTTTTTGAAAGGGGGGCAGCCAGAGAATTTTTTTTAACTACCTGAAAAAGTTTGAAACAAGCATAAAAAAAGGAACATTGCCCAAACTCGAAAATCCTATTTCGGGGGTGGGGGGGGGATGGTTGGAGGCAAACTTTTTTTCAATGCCAACTTCTTTCAGTACCAGTTTTTTGGCATACAACATAACATTTCCCGATATAAGCCTAATAGAGAAAACAATAGGGGGAGGGGAACCTGCCTTTCCATAAACATTTTCAATAGGAAAAGTAATGTTGGGAAAAAAATTAAATATTGAAATGCCTGAGACTTTTATGCTTATGGTAGTTATCCTGTCTCAATCACAAAATACACTGAGAAATTAAACCAGTTTAGCTCCCTAAAAAAGAAAGAAAGAAAAACAACCAATCTAAATAATAGTTAGTGATTTACTATTGATATACAATGTTTTGATTTAGTTTTGTTTATTAATTCATGTGATTTTGCAAGGCTATGTTAAAATGAATGTGCAGGCAAACTTTTTTTTCAGATTAATTACTTAATTTGCAACAAAGTCCAGCCAAAAAAAATATACTGTGTATATACCCCCCCCCCCTCTCCACACACACACACACACACACCCTCACTCTCTCTCTCTCTCTCTCTCTCTCTCTCTCTCTAGCAAAGATTCACACATACGTATGGAAAGATCTAAGATTGTGGAAAATAATATCTTTGTTTTACGTCCCTTTTTTCTTTGAAAAGGTACCCCAAGTCTGAATAAAAAAAACAACAACACACATTTCAAAAATTACCGAAGCCTGATTTGTAGCATTTCCGAAGAGTACAATGAATTATCTTACAAGAATTTGAAAATATATATAAAAACAAAGAGTTACGTGTTAGTTCCTTCAAAAGATATGATAAAAAAAAACGCCAACACAGCCAAAGATCTCGGTTTGATATTAAGATTTTTTTCTCATATCCCTTCTTTCGTAAAGTACATGTACCTGTACCTGCCCTGAAAATCATCCACTTCATTCTATAATATTCAAGCTACTGCAGGCATGCTTATGAAAATTTCCTAAGATGTGTCTTAAGACATGTCTTTGGATATTTCTTAGGATATATCTTAGGCACATCTTAAATGTTGGGGTGTAAAATGAAAGAATTAGATTATCCTAAGTTATTGATTTCAAATTCCACCTTAGGCATTTTCTTCTTTTTCTTTTTTGTAAATGAAGCACTACAAAAGGGCTGTATCAATATATCGATATATCGATACGTATCGATATTCAAGAAAAATATCGTATCGAAAAATTACTTCCAATACGTATCGGACAAGCAGTTCTTCTTCTAATTCTGCTAAAAAGATGGGAATTTTAATCAGCAAAGATTATATTTCACTTTTACGTATTAAATTGATCAATAATTATAGATTCATAAAAGAAATAACACAGTTTTTATAGTTATTACAAAATTCATAACATTTTTTTTTAACATGTTGATTTTAAGTCATTAAAACGAAACAAGTGTCAATTTATGACTATTGGACAAGAACTATGAAATGGGTAATAAAACAAATTTTTTTTTATGAAATCCATGCATTATATATTAATAATTTTTTGATGAAATAAAAAATATATCGCATATCGCTTTAAAAAATATTGTAACATAAATTTTTTTACAGCCCTAAAAATTAGTCTTGCTATGATTTAAATCTCTTAGATGTAGGGGGGGGGGACCACCTGCTTTGATTTTTGAAGTGTACTTAAAAACAATCGACTGAAATTTTTCCGGACACAAAAGTTTTTAAAAGCATTCAGGAAATCTAGCATCTAAAATATGCGATTACATGTTTTGTATAACATGTAACACGAAAAAAGAAAACTTTCAGGTTTAATTAATGTTTTTATTTTCCTTACTGATTAAAAACATTTTGAGCAGTATTTCTTTAGTGTGTGTGTCCCTATTCCTTTTTTTAAAAAAACATGCTTTTCAAAACTAATTTTTATAAATGATTTTTAAAATTATTTCAATTTATATTTTTCAACGATTTCTATTACATACATATATATCTTTATCACGTGAGTCCATTTTATCCAAGTTTTATGTAAAAAAAAATGTTGTATAACATAGCTACTTGTGTACAATCTAGTTTCATTTAAAAAAATCAGAAAGCCTGGCGATTTTCATGACAATATACAAACTTTGTACATTTTTTTATAGTTATTTGTATTATTGGATGAGTAATTTAAAAAAAAACATAAAGCATAACATCTTTTCTGGTCGTTCTTGGTCCAGTTGATCAAGTTCTCTCTCTCTCTCTTTCTCTCTCTCCTCTCTCTCTCTCTCTCCCTCTCTCTGGAAAAGGAAGAGGAAGTCACGTTAACATGAATAAACTTTCTTTAATTTTTTAAAACATATGTGTTATTTCTCTGCTATCATTAAAACTTCTAATACCGAAATGCAACAGATTTATGCAATAAAAGGCATTAAATTCTGAACATGTATCTTAGCTCTTTTAAAGCAATCTTTACCCCTCCGTTTTGCCCCAAGAAAAAAAAAGATTATATATTTTTATCTATTTTGAAAGGGCTTGAATAAATCACACGGTACAATGCTCATAAATTATTTTAGTTCATTAAAGAAATCATTAATTTACAACAAATATTTTATTTTTTACGCAAACAAAATTTTAGATGTTTTCCTGACACCAACGCTTCTTAAAATCTTTAAGATATGATAAGACATGTCTGCAGTCGTCTTAATGTTAGGTAAGATTTAGGTCTCCTAAAGGATGTACATGGCCTCGCTTAAGACTAAGATGTGTCGTAAAATAAGATATGTTTACCTAAATAGCTTCATAAGCATGCCTGCTGATTTCCCCATGGGCATTTTTATTATGAATAACTAAAGTATAATAAATTTAATGAGATAATATATAAAAATCAAAACTCGTGCTTTTTCGTTTAAAGAACAACAACAGAAACAAACAAACAAACAAAACAATCAATTAAATGAAACAAAATAAAACAAAATCCATCTTTAGCTTTCTACCCAGACAGATTCCCAGACGAAAATCGATGATAAAAAAAAAACTTTACCTCGCTGAGTTAATAAAGGAACATACGAAAATCTATTGAATTTTTTTAATACAGCGTATTTAAATGTTAAAATTTGAATGCAAGGAATTAGATTTGTTCTCATGAATGATATTGATTTCAAAACCGAGCGCAATGGAAATTAATACAATCTTTTTTCCCTAAGCCTTTTTTTCTTTCATTCAATGTGCACCGCAAAATAAGTCAATACCAATCACTGTGAGACGGCCAATAGGTCAATTGTGCTCAGTTTGCTAGTTAAACATCTGCTAAAAAATATACTAGGTAGGACCATGTTTAAATGTTGCCTTTTTGGTTCATATTAGCTGTGCTTATTTTACAAATTAGTATACATGAATGTACTTTTTACTATAATAACACTAAAACGAAGCAAGTCAATATATGGATTCATGTGGACAGTAATTTTTGGAAAAAAGCAATAATTAAAATTTTGTATTTAAATTTTTTGTATGTATATATTTGAAAATTTTATTTAAATAAAAAACATACAGTCTAGATCTGTTACTTGAACATAGATTTTACGTAAAAATTAGTCTTGCTATGATTTAAATCTCTTTCAACAAAGACCACCTGCTTTGATTTTTGCAGTTTTAAAAAACCCCATTCACTTTTCCGGACACAGAAGTTTAAGCATTTATTATTGTTCAAAATTGTGCGCAATTAATTTTGCATAACATTGCAACACGAATAAAGAAAATTCGACTAATTAAGCACCGTTGATTAAGAATCAATAATTAAGCTTACCCTGGTGTGTGATATGGGTCCGGGGTCATCAGAATACTTTTTCCAATTGGCATTTTCACAAGATTCGTAAATTATTCACAATTTTATTCCTGTTTCCCGGTTTATGCGCTAAAACACTAAGTATCTATGGAACAATCACGTGACGTCACCGATTGTGTCGTAAAACGTATAGTCAGTAAAAATCGGCTGCACAAAACCGCACGCCTATAGATATCCGCAAGTCATTAAAAAATATTCTGAAAGCCTGGCGATTTTCACTTTTAATGCCGGTTGATTTATTAGCTTATGAATTATAATCATTAATTTTAGGATTTTAAAAAGATGCACAATATTCAAGCGGGGTGCTTGGTTTATATTTGACGTTAAAGTGTAATAATCCATTGTGCTTGTTCAAATCACGCCGAAACTCTCTGATATAAATCAATTAGATTATAAAGATAAGATTTTTATATACCTCTGCATGTGTTCTTAAAATTTTGACTGCTACATTGAAAACTGTCAATTCCGTAAGCACAGATACACTACATCGATCAAAAGGTTAGATTGGATATGTCTTTTTCTTGATTCAGCAATACCTTATTTCGTGGATCGATATTAATTAACCATTTTTTCATGAAGTTGAAAGTTTGAAATATAAACTATAATTTCAACGAATTTACTCTTTTAATTTTAAAAATGTCTGCACATTGTTTAAAGCTCAAAATATACCAGGAGATACTTATTATGTTATTTATACACCTTGGGCATGACTTTCTTAATAAAAACAACTCTTTATGGGCGAAAACCATATTTTATAGTTTTTAGTTGGATCTGTTTGGTAATTTTTGACCATCCGTTTTCGTTAAAATTTCTGACTAATGACTTGGGGAATGATACTTTGGCCCACTGGAGTGCGAGTCAAGAGGGAGGATCGATATTTAAATACATGTACATTTAATATACATATCAATTCTTATATTTGTAATACTGAGATCTTGAAATCACAAGATTTTACCAAAATCAACGCTTAAAAACTTGACTTTTCAACTTTATACACAACCACATAATATAATGTTGTCTGACATTTTACGAAAGGATTTTAATTGTTAGTCCAGTTACTATACAAAATTATTTACACGGATCTTTTAACTTCTTCCCGAGACGCAGGAAGCGACGGCATCAAGGGTGAGACCCTCCTACTTTTTTTCCAAACACAACCCCCCCCCCCCCTTTCAAAAATGATGCTTATTCCAAGTTCTAAGTAGGGAGTACCAAGTATGAGAGCAAAGGCAAGATTTTTCATCAAATAACAAGCCAGTACATGGAAAATGAATAAAATTAATGTAGTTTGGTTTATGGACTTTGCTCCTGTTTTGTTTTATGGAATACTGTTCGTTTTCTCCATATCCTTCATACATGTAGTCATGTACAATGCACATGTGTTCAAATCTTTATTTAACAAGAAAAAATGTTTATATATACATTTTTATCTCACTGCCTTGTTTACAACTAGAATAAAATAAACATTTCATTATTTATTAGACAACACAGAAGTAATGCAAATGATGAAACCGTATCACAAATCATGCAAGACAATATAGTAGGCCTATATATTTATTTAATTAACACATCTTTTATCACTTCGACTGAGATGGCACTACTATTTGTTAGATGCGTACGAGACTCAATTAATTTTTGAACGCTCTTGCATTACAAATACGAGGATGAAATTATTGGAATACAAAATTACATGCATGATGTACATCAACAAAACATACGTGGGTTCCGTTAATGAAATCTCAGTTTCGGGATTAACATTCATATACAAGTAAAACCATTTATATAGAGAAAATGACAAACATACTGTTTTTAGTCAAATACTGTTTTAAAGAAGGCTGAACATTTCATGAAAGAATAGACACGCTTTGTGAGTATTGCAACATGTTCTGAACATGTATTGTTGAAATGAGCTGGCACCATCTTTATACAATCAGTATGATGATGAAAATGTCTTTGTCCTGTTATTTTGTTTTCGTTTGTGCAGTAGCGGAGCAGACTGGGCGCGAATCCTGCTTACAGCAGTGGGCCTACACAACCTGTCCACAATACTACTAAGTTCATGGGCATCCACAACCCTCCAAGTGCCCGGATAATGTTTCTTTAGTTCTGGATATTTGTGCTGCATGTATGGTCTGCTTTTGAATTCTCTCATTGTTTTCGTATGCTGCTCTTCGTAGGCTTTGCGCTCGTGTGACCACAAAACTGACCTTCGTGCACTTGCAGTGGTTGGCCTGGTCACAGTGGTGTCTACGTAAGTTAAGGTGGTCTCCTCCAGTGGTGGGCCGAAGACTTCCCTCCGGATGAATTCTTCACTGACATTGCTCTGCAAGGTAAAATAATTTTAAAATGTGTACATGTTTTTACTAAACAAAGATTTCAGAGTTGACAACAGCAAGAAAGAGTTTATTAAAGACATTTTCCATCTGTACATTTTTTATTTAAATTTAGATTAAATTTGAATTTTAACATATCTATATACGAAGACTTTAAATAAACTCAAGCATTTTTGGCAGAACATTACAGGTAACATATAAGTGCATGGAATTATTGTCAAACACAAATCTATAAAAAAAATAGGTTATTAGAATAACTAGTATATTTCTTATTAAAATCGAGAATTATCTTTCTTATCAGACGGACGTGTCACTTTAATCAATGCTAAAAAAAAAGAATTAATTTTCATTTCTTCGATTGTCGTTAAATGTTTGGCACTGTTAATACTGTTAATTTTTGATAACAATCCATGAAAATCTAAGGAAATCTTTTAAAATTTATATCTCGCTTCGCTATCCTGGTCATTCTTTTAATCGTTGTTAAAAATATATCAAAGACATAAACTTTTTATACCCTCCGCTTGAAAAGTGGGAGGGTATATAGTAATCGGTATTTCCGTCCGTCTGTACGTACGTCCGTCCGTCCGTCCGTCTGTTACGCTTTGGGGTACCCATCTCTTATCCGCAATTCCTCTCATACCACTGAAGGAAATTTAATGAAACTTTCACAGAATCTTCATTACATATTGCCATTGTGCACCTCCTATTTTACTTTTTGATCTGACATATATTTTGGATTTTCCAGAGCAAAAATGGACACTGCCATTATATTCATATGGGAGGCGGAGGGTATCATTTAGTGAGCTCATTGCTCGCAGTACCTCTAGTTTTATTTTTACGGGGGCGTTTCGCATGTTTAATACGTACAATTTATTAAGACTTCCAAAATGCTTCGAAAGGTGTCACAAAAGAAAGAATTTGAAACCTAGATGATAAGAAAAGAATAATATTGGGATGTAGGTTACTCATGGCGAGTCTTTAGTTTTCTTTGGCCTTCAGTTGGTCTTGATGAAAATACTTTCAACAATAGTTTGCTCTCTCATTTACAACATACCTTCTTTCCTAAGAGCAATATCAAGACGGCCTGCCATACCAATGAATTATTAATTGATCGGTAAACAAGAAGGTGAATTATTAATTGCCTCCCAAATTAAAAACCTTCCACCTTTCTTCTTGATTCCCTGTTTCGTTCTCTTGTTTTAAGGTCCCTATGAGATATACTTTACTAGACACAAAAAGAACTAATAAAATGTTATATCTGTTTAGTTTTAAATTCTCTGAATTCTAAAACTTTGATGTAACATCTGTCTCGGCACCCCCTATAGTTGATGTCAGGTTGACATTCATTGCATTACTTGAGGGAGTTGAAAGAACTTCATGTATTATAAGTTCATACTCTATAAGAAATACTACGACCATAACCTAACAGATGAAGAAATTTGTGTACTTCTGAATGTCATAAATAATTCATTATATTTAGAACCTAGTAGGCAAATAAATAATCATTGGAATGTCTTTTTCCATTTCGAAAAAAATGATTAATTTTCGTCCATCCTTATACCAGTATTTTCATATGCGGCATAATACGCCCCGCTTGAAAAGTGGTAGGTTATATAGTGATCTGGATTTCCGTTCGTCCGTCTGTAAAGCTTCTGGGGTACCAATCTCTTATATGCAACTCCTCATATACCACTAAATGCAATTTAGACTTCCAAAGAATCTGTGTTACATAGTCTGATAATGCCATTGTGCACCTCCTATTTTACTTTTTGATCGGACACATATTTTGGGTTTCCCATAGCAAAACATGGACACTCACTGCCATTCTTTCTATAATATTGTAGAGTACCAATCTCTTATATTCGCAACTTCTATACTACTGAATAAAATTTAATGATTTATAGACTCTTTATTGCATAATGTCGTTGTGTGCCTCCTATTTTACTTTTTGATCTGACTCTTATATCAGTCTCCCAGAGTAAAACATGGACTTTTCCATTATAATTATATTGGAGGCGGTGGTATCATTTTGTGAGCTCAATGTTCACAGTACCTCTTCTTTAATGAAGCAGTTTCAAACTCCATGAAATGTGTCTTAAGAAATAAGTATCAGAAACTATATGTACCTGGTCCTATCCGGATTTCATAATCAGCTCAATGGATTTTCAAACAAATTTCTTGAATGACTAAATGTGTACCAAAGACCCCCTTTTTACGTCCTTTTTGAATTTTAATCTTCAAACGTAATTTCTTGATCATCGTTAATATAATAACCACTGACTTTACGCACAATGTCATGATGTTGCTGATTTTAACGTTATCTTTTTTGGCAAGTGTATTTTGAGGAAACAAATATATTGTTCTCATAAACACGTATGCTCTACAAATAACTATAGTTGCGTTCGATCAAAAAAAGTTATTGATGAACATTATTAATAGCCTAACTAATCCTTCGTTAGATCTGTTTTTTATACCCGCACTTTCTAAAGAAAGTTCGGGTATATTGTTGTTACTCATGTCCGTCCGTCCGTCCGTCCGTCCGTCCGTCCGTCCGTCTGTCACACTTTTCTTCCTTGAACTCCTCTTACATTTTACACACTAACGTAGCCTAATCATCTTTTGGGAGATGGTTGGTGGTGTCATGTAGATGTGCAGTAAGGTTTCGGAATTTTGATTTTACCCTGGGGGGTCAAATGGGGGTCGAAAAATGACGTTTTTTATGCAAAAAGCCCCGTCTTCCCTGAACTCCTCTTACATTTTACACAGTAGCCTAATCATCTTTTGGGAGATGGTTGGTGGTGTGCTGTAGATGTGCAGTAAGGTTTCGGAATTTTGATTTTGCCCCGGGGGTCAAATGGGGGTCGTAAAATGACGTTTTTTATGCAAACAGCCCCGTCTTCCCTGAACTCCTCTTACATTTTACACAGTAGCCTAATCATCTTTTGGGAGATGGTTGGTGGTGTGCTGTAGATGTGCAGTAAGGTTTCGGAATTTTGATTTTGCCCCGGGGGGTCAAATGGGGGTCGAAAAATGACGTTTTTTATGCAAAAAGCCCCGTCTTCCCTGAACTCCTCTTACATTTTAAACAGTAGCCTAATCATCTTTTGGGAGATGGTTGGTGGTGTCATGTAGATGTGCAGTAAGGTTTCGGAATTTTGATTTTGCCCGGGGGGGTCAAATGGGGGTCGAAAAATGACGTTTTTTATGCAAAAAGCCCCGTCTTCCCTGAACTCCTCTTACATTTTATACAGTAGCCTAATCATCTTTTGGGAGATGGTTGGTAGTGTCATGTAGATGTGCAGTAAGGTTTCGGAATTTTGATTTTGCCCGGGGGGGTCAAATGGGGGTCGAAAAATGACGTTTTTTATGCAAAAAGCCCCGTCTTCCCTGAACTCCTCTTACATTTTACACAGTAGCCTAATCATCTTTTGGGAGATGGTTGGTGGTGTGCTGTAGATGTGCAGTAAGGTTTCGGAATTTTGATTTTGCCCGGGGGGGTCAAATGGGGGTCGAAAAATGACGTTTTTTATGCAAAAAGCCCCGTCTTCCCTGAACTCCTCTTACATTTTACACAGTAGCCTAATCATCTTTTGGGAGATGGTTGGTGGTGTGCTGTAGATGTGCAGTAAGGTTTCGGAATTTTGATTTTGCCCGGGGGGGTCAAATGGGGGTCGAAAAATGACGTTTTTTATGCAAAAAGCCCCGTCTTCCCTGAACTCCTCTTACATTTTACAAAGTAGCCTAATCATCTTTTGGGAGATGGTTGGTGGTGTCATGTAGATGTGCAGTAAGGTTTTAGAATGTTGATTTTGCCCGGGGGGGGAGTAATGCTGTCGAAAAATGATATTTTAAAAAGTGAGGTCAAGGTCAAAGGAAAATTCAAGGTCAAAATATGTTGACGTATTAATAGCTCTTAGCAGTATGTATCAGCATATGACGTTTGATAAATATATTTTGAATTGTTTATTCAAAACTGGTCTAGACATTAATTTTAGAAAAGTGAGGTCAAGGTTACAGGAAAGGTCAAGGTAAAAAAGAGTGAAGCATCGTAAAGCTTACATCAGTATGTATCATCATGTGAAGTTTCATTACACAACTTGAATGGTTTCTTTAAAATAAAGCTAAACACTAATTTAAAGAAAAGTTATGTGAAGGTCAAAGGAAAAGTCAAAGTCAAAAATATTGCTGCAGTTGGATATTTACTTCAGTATGCATCAACATATGAACTTTGATAAAAATATCTAGAAAGTTTCTTTGAGCCCGATGGAAAGACAGATGGAAGGGTGGAGGACGGACATAACAAAAACTATACATGTATTCCTAATCATGGTGTGGCATAAAAAACTTGAATCTACATTATATGAGCATGTTTCCATCTATCAAGATTATACAAGCAAATTCAAAGAATTGTGGTCCTCTGCTTTCTGTGTTTTAGTGAATGAGATACCATAATTTTTGCAGATTGTGTGTCAAATATGCACCCCTATCATATATCAATTTTTGAAAATTGGGTCAAAGGGGAAAAATCATAGCATGCTCTGAAACATTTTGTTGCAGGAAATGTACATGTCAAATATGAAAGTCCTATCTCTTTTGAATCAAAAGTTATATATACAATATAATATTTTTAAAAAGTAGGTTAAACTTCTAGGTCAAGGTCACAGAGTCAAAAGTCATGATATATTTAGAAAAGTCTTTTCACATGTAATAAACATGTATAATTTGAATGCCCTTTCTTTTCTCTTTCAAAATGATCAATTTAAAATGTTATTTTTTGGAAAGTAGGTAAAACTTTAAGGTCAAGGTCTCACTTGGGTTAAAAAATCATAGTATATTTAGAAAGTTTTGTGGTAATGTGCATGTGAAATATGAAAGCACTATCTCTTATCATTCAAAAGTTATGACCAAGGTTAAATTTATTGTGACAGATGCACATACTAGCTGTCAATAAGATGGACAGACTGACAGACAATTGAGATTTAGTGTCCCCTCCCTTTCCCCAAAATGGGGGACAAGAATATGCCCTTGCTGTTCTTGAGAAGAAGATTTATGATGGAAAAAATCCCCTGCATATTTCTTAACGCAAATTAATATTGTGTTCTTATGTCATTTTGTTTGTTGTTAAACATCCCTCTCAGGAATTTTTCACTCATATGGAGACACCACCATTTGAAAAATAATGAGGACAAGTTAGATTTGAGGTCAACATTCATTTTAGGAGTTTTCAACCATTAAGAGGTAAAGAAATATTAACTCGATCCTTCCCCTCACCCCTTCCCAGACCCCTGTTTGTTCATGTATGCAAAAAAAAAAATTTTTATACAAATAGTTTAATGTGGTCCATCTCTGAATGATTCTCATGCCTAATTCTAGGAAGATAATTATGTTGACACAAATTCATGAATAAAATGTCAAGTAATCTTATCATTGATGTGCTTTTATTTAATTTACTGCAGTCATATTGTGAACATTTCCAGCTCATTAGGAGAGTGGGGATGACCTCTAGGGGTTCATAACCTTTATACCATTAAATTTACATAACATAATAACACAATATTATGTATAGTCAAATGGAAAAAGTTTCCTACTATTTAGGAGTCACATGATCATTTGTCATTACAGGGACAGGGAAATGGATTGGGAGATCGCCCCCTCAACACCCCCCCCCTCCCTTTCCCCCGGAATTTGCAGGACTATAATATGTACTGGAGGAAATAAAAATGACTTTGGATGCCCTAAGTGTCCCTCCACCCTAGAAAAGAGACCAAACCATAACTTCTTTTTTTTCTTGCTTCTCAGGAAATTCTGGCTAAAAACCCCCCCCTACCCCCCCCCCCCCGTCCCTCCAAGAAAAAAAAATTCTGGATCTTGTAACTGAATGTAACGTTGATAACGGGGGATAACTCTTCAGAATGTGAAATTCGTCTATTGTAGCATCGGATGACCTTTGATCCTTTAAACTTTAACCTAACCGTTTGCATTTCAGACTATTTTACCCAAATCTATACCAAAACTTGTACTTACCGATTGTTATTATTTAGGCCCTGTCATCTTCATGAAATATAATCCAGTTAAAACACAAAATGAAATAATTCCTACCGACATATATGCAAATATGCACACTAGTATCCTACTGCACGTGCAGTGAAATCTAAAATGATAATGCCAATGGTAAAACTAGTACTTAAGTTGGGTACGTGACGCAAGCCGAATGTGATGCAGGTGTATAGATACATGTATAGTGCAAGAACAAATTGAAAATTATCATTTACAAAAGATGTTTTATTTTAGCTTTGCAATCTAGGCCTATTTGCAAAAACAGACAAATAAGGTGTGTTTGTGTGTGTGTTGATGGGAGACGGGTGGGGGTTGACTATTAAATTGATTGTGTATATGGCAGCTTTCAAGAAGTTTCTGCCTAATCAAATATAAATAAACTTTGCACATATTGAAAAATTCATCAAAAACGCTTTACACTAATTTGAATAATATTATTTGTTGTTAATCTATATGAGAAAATAGATTTAAAATGTTCCAATTATGTGCCAAAAATCCTCCCCCCCCCCCCCCTTTATCAAACCTAATTTACATCATTAATTAAATTCTGTAGTTTAATTTCCGACTGGTAATGAATTAAGAATATGAAATACCTGTAAAATGGAGGCCCATGGGTCACATGGTCACTAGCTGCAGGTCTGTAGCGTTATGGTTTTATATATTAGTCTTTGAATGCAGATCCTGTAATGCAAAAAAGGTGCAATTTACGGCGCAATATTTTTTGCGCACTTCTGGGGAGAATTTCTCCACTTTCCAGCATCGGTCAATTTACTACCTTTCACTCCCTAATTCTAGGCACATTATTTAATCAATCTGTATATTTTATCCATCTCCCAACCCTTTATAGTCGTCTCTACTTGAGATAAACTCGCTTGATTAAAATTATTTGTTAGATTGCTGAAAATTCACATCAAGCAAGTTTATTGCCTGTAGAGATTACTATAAATGACTGGGAGGTGGACAAAATATACATATTGGCCAGAGAATGTGTCTAAAATTAGGGAGTGAAAGGTAGTTGATTGCCTAAAGCTAGAAAGTGGAGAAATTCTGCCCAAAAGTGCTCAAAAAATATTACGCGTAAATTGCACCTTTTTTGCATATGGGGATCTGTAGCGTTATGATCAAAGACAAATATATAAAACCAGATCTGCAGCTACATGGTCACCTGAGCATATTATGCTCAATTTGATGAATACATGTATTATGTAAATTATTGAATTATATTGACTATTCATTGGCGGATCCAGAGGGGGGGGGGGGTCCGGGGGTTAACCCCCCCCCCCTTTATTTTTTGCCAAGTAGAGAGTGAGAGGGGATAAAAAATTTTCTTAGATTATATATTTATAAGTCTTATTTATTGAATAGATAGATTCTCACACATTTAGTTTCCTCCAATCACCTTCTCTATTATATTTTTTATGAGAGAATGGTTGCGAGGTTTAATTTGATATTAGATTCCCGCGATCTTTGGCTGTGTTTGCTAAATATGTACCGTTTTTATCATATCTTGATCAATTGAACGAACTAACATGTAACTCTTTGTTTTAAAGCCCACCCGCACCCCACCCCAAAAAGGTTTTTCAAATTCTTAAAGAAAATTCTTTATAATCTTCAACAGTGTAACGTCCATTCAATTTTAAGGCTTCCGTAATTTTTGATTTTTATTTTTTTTTTGGCTTTGTTTTTATTTTGTTCGGAATGGGGGTACGCTTTTTTTGAAGGACATAAAACATAGATAGTATTTACCACAACCTTAGATCTTTCCATACAAGTCTGTGAATCTTTGCTTGAGAATATGTCGGGGGGGGGGGTTAGAGGGGCATAACCCTGGAACCCCCCTTTCAAAAATTGCTGGATCCGCCCCTGCTTTTTCCTTGGTAAAGCCCAATAAGAAGAAGTGTGCATTTAGAGGCAAACACCTTAGTGCGGGTATTACTGTCTCATGACAGCATCTAGTCTTTGTTTGCGAAGACCCGATGATATTATATAGATACCCCTTTTTAAGACCATGTGAACTATCAAGATCACAAGTACGTTTGTTTGTAATAAATCTGATACAAAATAAGATATTTGTATTCTGTAGGCGAACCTGTAAAACTTAACGTTTTAAATCCGCAGATGATATCGATTTTAGCCTTTGCAAGCCATAAGGAATATACAATTTGCATTCCCGCAAAGAAAAGTTAGTCTAAAGGTTTCCGCTTATTTACATAGGCTAATTCAGTTCAAAATATTAAGTTTCTCTGAAGAACAGATTTATAGATAATAGATCGAAATAAAGAATATATAGTCCTACCTCATTAATAAGAGCTGCTTCTTCTTCCTCGGTGAGCATAAAGGTTGGAAACTGGTATTTGACGGATTGGCGCCGTTTGAAGTCCTCTCTCTGACTCTCGAACTGAGCAGACGACTGGCGACGCTGACTTCCGCCGGACATCGTCGACGGTCTGCGAGCTATGGAAACTGACATTTTCCTGTTTCATACCATCCTGCTGTAAATTACTAGTTGTCTGCTATCAACATTTCCCGCCTGAAAGAAAAAGATAAAACTATAGCAAACTTTATCAAGAGACAGTTGCCAGGTAGTATACCAGTAGTAGAGGAAGCACTTCACTTTCCTTCCCCATTTATTTTAATTTTTACTTTTGATATCCAAATAATGTTTTATTGATAGCTTTCGAATCGTATTACATGTTTTCAACTATTTTGTTCTTATATGTACTGGTATTATTCTCTTTAGAGAATTTGACAGGCTTTCGCCTATATCCACGTAGGCAAAAGCCTGTCCACTTCTCTAAAGAGAATAGTACTGGCGTGTGATTAATGAAAGGTACACTATTACCCGAAATTAATGAAATCAACAAAAAGATTTTTTAAGAAGAACTCGGTATACTAGTACATTCTTCAATAGAAGACGATATGCATTCGACTTTACTCCTTAAAAATACTAATGTACTTAGATAGCTAGGTTTCCCAGTAAGACAAATTCTGTGGGTTCCAAAATTGTCCCCGTACTATGACAAGGCAAACAAAACGAACAAATGGAGTGGAGTGGGGTCACGCGACTTCTGTCTTAGTAGATCTTGCAAGTTCTTTCCAAAACAGTGATGCAGCATGTATATTTTTGACACGGGTTTCATTCTAAATGACATTTTGCCAATCTTTTGAAGTCAGTTTATGGCTATTTAAATCTATTACAGTTCCGAATAACAGTTATTTCCGTTCATTTTTGAGCTTCGTTTTTTTTTAAATTGAATTTAAATTCTTTAAACATCTTGATAAATAGCATGGGCATAATGTAACCTTTTAATTAAACATGGGCTCCTTGATGTTTGTTTTTTTTCCATTGTAAAGATATCTATAAAATAATTATTCATATTTTGAATTGTATCCATTTAGAAGGTTTTGAAAATATTGAACCTTTTCAAAAAACTTTAAATTTAAAAAAGAAAATGCAGTACGTGTACTTACGTTTGTACTGAAATCTCTCTTCACATGCAGTCTTCTTCAATACGGTCTTGAGCCTCAAAGACCTAAATTTTAAATAGAATCAAGGCAAACATTTAATAAATAACAATAGATGCCTAAAGTCAATTAAGAGCCTCAGATTAGATCAGATCACTATACATATGACTTAACGACGGAACATTTCTATTTGTATATAAAGAAACAGTTACGAGTTCTTGCGTTAAAGAAAAAAATATACTTACCGGCTTTTAAAAGTCGCCAATCGTCCAGTGATTAACAAAAATAACTTTAATGCGCGGTTTTAGCATTTAATCCATAATTTGGTATTTAGACACCCGAATATGGAAAAATATATACGTGAGTTTGCAGTAATGTTGTTTAAATAGGGGACTGCCTCTAAGTAAAAATGGTAATGTTAGACGTCAGGAAATAGAACCATGGAGCAATAAAAATATATTTTACTTGAAACTGGTCGATAAAGGATATCTTACAAAGATGTTTAAGTTGTACACGTGAACATGAATTAAAAAATTCTTTAAATAATTTTGGAAATGTATTTAGTAGCTTGCATGAGGGCAATGTTCAGCCTTTGTCTTTAAGGACTATCCCTCTAACAGGAGAGATAACTCAAAATCCTACGATTTTCTTCTGCAAGAATTTTCACTATTTGTCTACAATTACACCCGGTATATTTTATTAAATTTGTTTGAATTTCATATCAAATCATTTAATTGCTATCTTGTCATGTATCAGCTTCAATACATTATCACTACTGGTGTGTCGTGGTTGGCAAGCAATTGGTTGTTGAAACATCTCAAGTATTTGCAAGTAACATGTTTGCCCTTATTTTATATTTTTTCTTAGATCTCCTTCATGCCTCCTAAAAAGTTGGGATTATCTGCTCCCTTAAAATTGGCTCCTAAACCACAGGCACTTGTTTCGGAAATAAATTTTTAACCCATAGTGTATAATGATAATGTTATTATTATACTATGGGTTTAAAAATTAATTTCCGAAACAAGTGCCTGTGTCCTACATCCCATAAGTGGTGTATATTTTCTATCAGGAGTGTTCGATCGTTGCCTGCATTCAAATACGGAATTCTGTAGAGTTTGCACTCTCTTTTGAGTCGATGAAACCATTTATTATGACAAATTTATGCAGTATGACAGGAATAAAACAATTACTTGAACTATGTTTTGTCGCTTTTTTTCATAGTTTTAGGTGAGATAAGTTGAAAATACGCGATATGTGGAGTGATACGGTCCTTCAATGACATCAATAGATACAAAACCTATCTGTATGGGTGTGTGTAATTTGCCCATGTACTTTCACTTTCCCAGGAGTAAGACTGCTTAAAACCCTTGCGCTCTATGTTCCTTATCCACCAGGAACCAAAAGGAACCATGACGATTCCTGTACGTCGCACGCTTTGATAGATTTTGAAAATTACCTTATATATCAAACAATTAGCGCTGAACACACACAATATAAGCCACCACTTTGGCATTTCTTGCAATGTAGTGATATCACCTATTCGAAAATGTGACATCACTTTGTTAAATAGGTGATATCACTCAGTGAAATCAATTTAATCGGTGATATCATCCATTCAAATAGGTGATATCACGTTATCGAATAAGTGGTACATTGTGTATCAACTATTGGAAATGAATTGGTGAAAAAACCTCATCACCAATTAGTTTTGAGTTTGGTAATATCACGTACTTGAATTAGTGATAATATATCACTTATTTGCATTTCTTACAACATTAAATTATGAAAAAAGACCCCAGGATCAGGAAACAGACTTAGACTTAATTCAAATTTTCAATAATAAGACATTTGTGAAGCAATTTTGAAAAATATTTTACTCTTGATTTGCTTTACTTCTACAAAATTACAATACAACATAAAGATTTTGACTTAAGCTTAAGATGTTTCATGATCCCAGGGCCAGACGTTGCTTATTGGTGAGTTCACCTATTCGAAAAGGTGAAATCACTTAATTGCGGTAAATACCAAAAAGGTTTCTCGTACAATAAACAAATGCAGTCTAAGTAAAGTGTTCCAGAGTCACATCAAATGACTTTCACTCAGCTGAACCACATAAAATTAGGCAGCCTCATTGACTTCCTTGCCAGTTTTGAATAGTGTGTTTTAGGTTTTGTTTGTTTTGTATGTTGTTTAACGCCCCTCTTGAGAATTTTTCACTAATATGGAGACGCCACCACTTGCCGGTGGAGAGCTGCAAATTTTGTCCTATACTCAGCACTAACGTCCATTTGAGCAGTTAGGGATCTTTTTCGTGCCAGCACCAACTGCGACACGATACCTCGGTTTTTATACAGTCTCATCCGACGTCCTACAATGCTATATTACATCATCAGAACCCACATTATTCTCGTTACACTACTACATCATTTTAGTAACACTACTCTTGTGTTTAGATGATCATACTCATAGAGCATTAAAACTAAAACAAGAGGCCCATGGGCCACATCACTCACCTGAGTAACTTTGGCCATGCTGTTCTTAAACAGATATCCCCCTTGTAAATACTGATTGTAAACCCTACCCGAAGGGGTCATGATTTGGACAATTTAAAATCTACACTATCCCAGGATGCTTTCACATAGGTTTAGCTTATCTGGCCCAGTGGTTCTTGAGGAGAGGATTTTTAAAGATTTTTTCTTAAATATTTCAATGTAAAACTTGGACTCCCTATTATGGTCCCGCCCTACCCCGGGGGCATGATTTAAATAATTTACACTCTATACAACCCCAAGATGCTTTCATATAAGTTTCAGCTTTTCTGGCCCAGTGATGTAGATTTTTAAAGAGTTTTCCTACATATTTCAATGTAAAAAGAAAAAATGTAAAAAAAAAAAAAAAAAAAAAAAAAAAAAGGCCATATTGTGCCCAGTTAACTTTGTTTGGAATATGTCTTCTGTAATCAATTCATTATTGAATTACATATATGTATATTTTTAAACAACAAACCAGTTTAATTAAAAGGCATACTGGCTATTCAGAATATATTATTTTTACTGCTTAATCCTATTATAGATATCTGAGGTCAAGTTAAATGGTCAAACATTCATTTCCGAAGATTAGTTTTAGGAGTTGGCCAGCTATTGAGTTTAAGAAACATTTTTGTTGTCTATGCAATAGTATAAACATTTTTTTTAAAAGAAGAGGGTATACATTATATCAAAATCAAATTTCGAAGTTAAGTTCAAAGTCTAAAACTTTTAACCGTTATTAATGTTATGGAAATGTTTATCATATGGATTTTGTATAACATTACCATTTTCTTAAGAAGTCAATTAAAGGGTTGATGTTAAATAAATATGAAGCAAAATATGATTCCACAAAAAGGCTTCCAACAATAGCTTCTTCATCTAATATTGGTTTAAGACGGACATACTTGGTTACATTGTTTAGAGAAATGTAGTTCATCTATTTAAATTTTAATTCTTAAAAAATTGTTGTAAATTAAACTGTTTTAGTGTCGAAGGGATAATTTGTAAATCGGGATTATAGGGGCACATTAACAACGACCAAAGCCGATTCTGAGAGCGAGTTAAAAGTTTAAAGAAAAACAAAACGACACTTTCATTTTTGATCAGAGAACAATGGAACCTCGCAGAAACCAGTCGTAGTTCACGGGAACAATTTAATTTTCAATTTTTGCTTGGAGAAAGATCTACGAAATATGGATCTTATCTCAAAGCAAACCACTGGATAATGAAATTTTTGACAGGTGCTGAAAGTCGAAATTGAAAAGAAGAATTATCTTATGGGAATTATGTCAAGACCTGTTTGATTAAAAATTCTTCAGCATGACAGATACGAATAAAAAGCCCGTTGCAACAACGCGGCTGTGCATTAACCTACAAGGAGACAATGACGAAGATGGGACCACGCGGCCCTCCCCATTATGGATTAATCCCCGTGTTGACGGGCGAATGAGAGAATCTGTGGACTTTTCCTCCTGGCTGAAACCTAACTGGCTTGACGAGCAGGGACAATTTTCTTACATTCGTACCCCTAGTCCGGGGGGTTACTCTTCGTCCGATGACGATACTGACTCTGAACAAAGTTTTCGACGATCAGACAGCAAAAAGAAAGGCATAAGTTTTGCGACCGCAGTCACAGTAAACAAGGCGGCAAACCTATTCAGAAGTAGGACGCAGATACAGAAGAGACCGTCTATCGATAATAATTTTGATTTCCCCCGCAGCAAAACTTCAATTGGAATAGAGACATCGAATCCTAGCATTTCTAGGAACAAGAGTGTTCGCTGGATAGACGGTAATTCTCGGCAGGATAGGCGTGAGTCGTTTACAGAAGCACCAATGTTATCAAGGAGTAAATCGTTTTCGCATAATGAGCCCCTCAGTGGTCTATTTGACATTGCAAAAGCGGCGGGGAAAAGGAAACCTATCTTACTAAATACTGGGTCCACTCTACCCTCCCCTGCCCCCTATAGTCTTTATTTATATGCAGAAACACCAAAGCCACCGCAAAAGAACAAAGAATTCAGGATTCCAAAGAAAAAACGGAACGGGAAGAGGCTCTGTAAAATTTCACCCATACCAGAAGAAGGAATCCATCGGCCAAAAATTGGCGACAGAAAAGTTTCAGATGATGAGTTAGAGGGCATTGTATCGAGGCTTGTTAGGCCAACGAATGCGAGTCGAGCGAGATCGGCTTCCATAAGCAGAGTATTTTTCGATGAAGCCGAAAAGAAACCACAGCCTCGCGTTCGAGTAGACTACCTCGTTTTCGAGCCAAATCGTTTTCGGGGATTGAAGAAAGTCAGAAGTGATGAACTGGAAGAGATAACGGAGCGATTAAATACGTACGATATTGAGAGATGGCCTCCAAATTCTGCGAGAGAAGAAATTCGAAAATCGGTTCAGGACGATAAACTTGGTATTTTAAATAGCAACCGGTGGAAAGGAATTAAACATTGTTGAGATCAAAGTGTAGGGTAAATACGTGTTGAAATAATTTCACAAGGGATTTACAAATACCATTAACAGATTCATGTTAATGAAAATTATTTGTATTCATTTGTGAACATACAAATATGAAATGACCAAATGCATGACATTTTTCAAGTAAGGAAGATTTGATATTGTGAGTGCAAAGTTTAAACATGTTCTAATGGTGCAGCTTTTTGAAAAGGCTTTTCTACGTCATTAATTTCATTTTTTGTCATCATCTTTTTATGATCAAGACCAATAAATATTAGCAATGAAAACATTTAAGTTCTTGATTATTAATGTATTCTGCAAGGACAAAAGTAACCAAGCCCCATTGTTACTGAAAAAAAAATCTTAAGAATTATTTGGTTCTATTTCTGATCAAGGTTTATAGCTGCCTTTCTGAACTTTGCTCTAAGCATTGATAGTAAAGGGGAGATAAATAATAAAAGGTTAAAATAAAATGCGTGTCATTTAAAATTCTTCCTATGAACCTTAGAGCTAGGAAAGAAAACAAAAAATAAATAAAATGGGCCATTGTTAAAAATGTTTTAAGAAACCACTGAGCTTGGAAAGAAAAAAAATTATGAAAAATTCTTTATTCATTTTATATCCATATTTATTCAAACTTATGCTCAGAAAATTATCTCAAGAAGTTATTATGCAATCATTATTATGAACTTTATATTCAACTTTATCAAAAAAAAAAATTCCCATTGATAATAAATGTGTTCTGTTTTTTCCTGATTAATACATGTATTATAGTAAAGCTCCAAAGAGGGTGTAAAATAAATTCAGAAGAACATATTCGTGAAATTTTGAAAAATCAAAATTAAAGCTTTGATAATTGAATAAGTTGAAACTAAAATAATCTTGTATAATATCTTTTCAAATATCTTCAATATATAAATAAATCAACAAATTAATAAAGCATTATTATATGCAAGCATTTATATGTAGTGAAGATTGAATTAAATATCTTAAGATCCCATATTTTCATGGGGTCAAATGTTCAAGGTTTGATGAAAAAAATATTTATTTGTGGAGATTTGATTTCATTAGAGAATTTTTAGTAGTAATGAAAATGAAATTTTAAATTTCGTGGTGGCCATGAATTTGTGGGTCTCTCAAGCTCCATACAATATAAACAATGAAAATTAACACACACACACACACACACCCGACCGAAAATTAGTGATTTCCCAGTGTGTTGAAGTCATATGGCTCAACAGAGTTGGGCTAAAATGGCAGTTTTCAAATCACAGAGGAATATGTAAGCTATCTCAATACTACAACAATAAGATTATGATGTGCAAAGATGATAACAGGTGGCCTACTATCCATTAAAATGTTGGAAATGTTTGTCAAGATTGGAACAATTGACTAAAAACAACATCATTTTTATGTTCATCATCTACTCGCATAAACATTTCATAAAAAGTACAATAATGTCTTGCAGCAAAATAAATTTCACAAAATACTCAAACAAAAAGTATTAAAGATTAACTTCATTTGAATCCTTGCCAAATCTCTAATTCTTGCCCTTGAGTTATTTATCTAGGATTAGGAGTAAATACATACAACCCATATTTTGAACATACCGGTAATTAAGATATTGAAACGATTTCATTGTTTCATAATTTCTAGACTAATTATAATAGTCATAAGATTTGTCTTAAGAGGTGTATCAGTGTGAATAAGCGAGAAAAAAAATGTGACTGGATTTTTTTCTTTTCTCAATTTTATTAAATACTTTATTTTTTATAAGTAAATTACAAACAAATTAAGAATTAAAATCAAGATGTAGCTTCTGCAGATATATCACTAATTTCTTAATTATTTTTTTTTTCAAGCAAGGAAAACATTTTGAAAAAAAATAATATCTTAACAAGACAAAAGGTAAAACTGAAGGCAAAAAATTAACTACCTATAGGAACTATAGGAAAAAATAACAAAAGTTTTTAAAAGATACAAAAATAAAAATAAATCGTTGTTCAAATCAATCCCAGATTTCCTCAGTGTCAATTGCACAGGAAGTTGCTGCCTCATAAAAGTTTACATTGGAATCTTCCACACAAATGTCTGTTTCATTCTCCTCTTCACTACCATCATGATATCTATCTTCCCACTCATCTTCCAGGGGGATGATCAATGTGGATTGGTCTTCTGTAAGCTGGTACCCATTTTCATGTAAAAATTTCCTGAGATCACAAAAAAAAATGTGAAAGACACTTATCTCAAAGATGTTTGTTTTAACCTAAGCAAGAGCAACTACATGTACATTGAACTTCAGATTCTAAGACAACAAATCCATGGGCTGTTGAAGTAAATTATTTTAATCTAAAAAACTTGAATCATATGTCAAGGTTTTCCTTCAACAAGGTTTGACTGTATCACAAGAAGTATAATTGAAATAAATTACACTCACATATTAAGGAATCTCGTAAAAGAATTAAATGAAGTTGTATGAAAAGATGGACATCAAGGATTATGACAAACTCACTTAAGGTCATCAGTTTTGACTAATTTGGAAATTCTACTGAAGGTCATCAAATGGTCAACAGGGATCTCCATTTGTTCTTTATCATCTTTCTGCACACAGAAACATGACTGGTCTGAGTCCATACTGCGATGGTTACTTGTCAGTAAATTAATGATGTATGACACTTCTGACTTCAGAGTTTCCTCTGCAGATAAGGTGTCTTTATCTTTGTATGGAAATGTGGATTCTGCAACCTAAGAAGGAAATTTATAGATGCATAAATATAAGTCAATAAAAATGTCCTTGAGCTGAAAAGTTAAATAATATTAAACATAAAGACTCATTGAAATATACTCACACAAAGTGTAATCAACTCACTTGAAATGTAATCATACTGAGTGTAAAAGACTCATTTGAAATGCAATCATACAGAGTGAATTAGACTAAATGAAATGTAATGACAGAGAGTGTTATAGACTCATTGAAATTTACTCTTAAGAGTGTAATAGATTCACTGTGAATGTTATCAAACAGTGTAAAAGACTCCATGTAAACATGCACACAGTAATAAACACACTTGAAATGTAATCACACAGAGTGTAAAAGACTCATTGAAAAGTAATCACATAGACTGTATTACATTCTCTTAAATATATTCAACTCATCTGAAATGTACTCATACTAACTATAATTATGGTAATAGACTTTCTGAGATGAACTCACACAGAGTGTATTAGACCCATTGAAATCTACTACAGAGATTGTAAGAGACTCAATGAAATATACTCATACAGAGCAGTGCAGTATTACAAAAATAGCCTAACAGACTGTTAGTAATAGATTCACTAAAATATACTCACATAGACAAGAATAAAATTTTGGTGAGCAGTAGGTCTTGCTCAATTATGTGAAAAAATAAAGTTCATGTGAATATAGACGTATTACTCACTAAACAATAGCAACATTCTTTTGACTCAATAGATGGTTTAGACTCAGAGGATGAAGTAAAGATGGCTGCCTGAGAACAAAACCCGACCTCCTGAGATTCCAGTGGAGGGTCCCCAATACCTGTATACTCCACAGAGTAGCTGTACTTCTCACACACACCCTGACACCTAGAAAAGAGATAAAGATATGTAGGGGAAATTATTTACATTATCTCCAATACAAAGGCTTTTACTTGTAGGTATATACTTATTTCACTGGGAATTCCGATTTTCATACATTTTGTCTACACCCCAAAAATACATGGTCACAGCAAAAACATTTTTATTTATACATGTTGGATGGGATGAATGTATTAAATAGCAGGAATTTCCCTAAGACCCAGAGTCACAGGGAATTTTTACGCCTTCTATGACATACTATAAACCAATTTTTATTCGCGATGACTTTATTTCGCGATTTACCGGAGGTGAACTAGTTCGCAACGATTAATTTTTGTGATCAAGCCTTTTTCGATCTGTTGTTAACAGACAAAGAGACTTAAAGGACTGGTTTGCCACGAGAAATATTCGCGATGACAAGACTCTCGCGAACCTCAAGAAAATTTTTCGCACGCGAATAAACGTTGGTTTACAGTGATTAGTTCATGGCCTATAAAATGTACATTAGGATAACAAGTACATGTTTAGATGATTCTGTATAAATATTTACTAAAAACATTCTTGTATCTGAAACCTACCAGCTTTGAAATTCACTCCTTATCCACTCAAACTTATGGTCATAGTGTCGAAATCTGAGTTCTCCAGGAAAGAGACTGTTGAATTCATAGTTAGGAGTGGTGACTACAACCAAACGAGGTCGGAGTCGCCCAAAAACATTCTCCTCAACTTCCTCTAGAATATCTGGATACAGGTGCTCTATGCTGTGAAAATGGGAGAATTAATAAAGCGAATAAGACATTACAAAGTCAAACATCAACAATATCTGTGTCAATGAAGATTTTTTTTTTTTTCCAAACCTCATCCATTGAAATCTCTTAGAGAACCTGCCTACCCTTTTCATTGCAAGGGTGTAATTTCAGTACATTTCTGGTGGAATTTTAGAGGTAAAAGCGTAATCAATCATGTTTTCCTATTTTTTTTGTTTTTATTATACATGTAATACTTTATTTTCTTTCAAAACAACCGAAATTGTACATTACTGAGCAAAGAATAAAATTTTCTTTTTCGAATCATTTATTGGCAAAAAAAATGTAAAATATCACTATCCTGTATCAAACTCAATTCAACAGTACATCCTTCATGAAGCCTTTGGTCAATTTGTATCAAATTACTTAATTGAAGGATTGCGACTTTGCATGTTTATACAAATTGTTCATTATAACATTGTACTTTATTCTTTTTACTCACATTTCTCTATCTTGTTCTAAGCAATGTGAAAATAAATTGAGCATATAAATGGCTGTACCTATTGCAATATCATTTAATAGTTAGCGTAAGTAGTGCCTTCTCGTCTTCTTTTGAATCTTCGCCATACCAGTTTACTTGAAACTACTAAGTATATTACGTACTTTATCGAACAGGTCCTCTATTAATTACTTTTATTAGAACTAAAATGAGAAGTTACTTCTCATTTTATTTCAGCAGGTTGTACTTTAACTCTTTTAACTCTAAATTTAGTTGTTTATTAAGAATTTTAAACCGAAATATCAAAGCGTAAAATTAATATCAGTGGCGTAATAGCATAATTTTGTGGTAAAAAGCAGAAAAGTTAAGCCAAAAGCGGAAGGGTAGACAGGTCTGTTGACAATGACAATAAACAGTTTCTTGACATTGAACTAAATATAAATATGGATGTGTCAATTAATAAAGATTGATAGAAATACACATCTTTAAAAATTCTATGAAACTGAGCTATATAAAAACATGAAGGGGAAAAGAGAGGTTTAGATTCATATACAAGGAAATAGTCGGAAAATATTGACATTCTGTGACTGTGAATTTCATTTATACATGAATGGTGTGTTCCAAAATTTGATGTGTCTTAGCCTATCCTTGAAGATAAATAAATGCTTACAACATAAGAAAATTTCACAAACTCGGAATTTTACAAAGAAAAAATTCCTTTTGCCAACTTCAGTACAGTCTTCAGTTTAACTAAAAGTTCTAGAAAAGAAAATCAGAATTCTTACAACTCAATCATGGAAACAGCATCACATCCTATAGTTCTGTTATCCAGACTTGTAGCACTCCCTTCGTAAATCTCGATGCTCAGTGGATTAGCCCTTTTGAATATATAATCTGACGGTCGTGGTTTAATGCGGTTTTTATTGAAATCTAATGCTTCTCTATCAATGTCCACTAGCTGTATCTTTTGGACACTTGGAACCTCTCTGTAAAATCTCACTATTGCACACTCTGAACATCCTAGATCAACCACCTGAAATTCAGAAATTGAGAATTTGAATTATTACTGATAGTCCTAGCTAGCTTAAGGGGAGACAGGGCACATGTCACATGACTAAAAAGACATATTTCGTCATAATCGGTGATGATATACATGTTAAACGTTGTTAAAATCAACAGTTCTTGTGTAATTTTATTCTTATAATTCTAAAATTGTTTTTTAAACATTTAATTTTAGAAATTATTATTCATAAAATTTTAAAAGATCTTGCTATCATTTAGATATTGTGAAGTTGCCCAATCCACACATTTGTTTCTCTTTACCCTGCAGTTTGACGTCAGTGACGTCATAGTCGTAATGTTTGAATTTTCAGTGCAGCAAGATCAAGTACACACCCCCGTCATGATCAGTTTTATTTCATGATAAACAGGTCAAAGTCAATATATCGTGATTTATTTCTGAAGCAGATTTTTTTTTATATTAATATTTCTTCGTGTTTAGTAGCAAAGATTCTCTCTATTTAGATAATTTTGAATGTTTATGTTTTCGTGTGACGTCACAGTCGATTTCCCGCACTCGGAAAATACAAACGTGAAGCGTTTTTATCATGCTTACGTTTAATTTAACGATGTCCTGTGCGATATTGAGGTAAGCTTCACCCTGTGATATTTATGCAGTAAATAATTACGATGAAGGACTGACATTTAATCGTAAATTTAGAAATATTTATTGACAGAATTTTTTCCCAATAAGGTTTTTGTCGTTGAAGCTGCCTTGAAAAATGCAGAAATTATCCCACCCAAATACTATATAAAATTAAAACAATTGCTTTCAGATAATTTAAACACTATGAATATTCTGAAATATTTGAGTATATAGTATTACCTATAATATTTATCGTTTGTGCGTAAAAATTCGCATTATGGACTCCGTTATGGGCCCGTAAACATGAAGTATCTAAACTCCATACAAACTCTAAACAGGGCGATATTTGTGGGGCGATATCTTTTAAATTAGTCAAGAAATCCCATGACAGGACCGTTTTAAAATGTAAAGTACATTCTAAATTAGTAATATGAAATATGCATTGTCAACTTTCTTTCATGAAAAGTGGCAGTTTAATTGTTCTTTTCTTTTTTCAGATTTTGGTAAGTGCTTCATTAAAATTCTGATTTAAAAAAACGAACCCATTTAGCATCATGCTTTTCCAAGATCTTTGCGGCAAAGGAGTATCTCTGTGTGTACAGGGGTGGATAAAATCTAACATCTCCTAAACTGTTTTCGTCTTCTAGCTTCTTAGATCCATCTGTTTCTGACAATTCTGCTCTTGTTTCTTTTGACATATTGTGTACATTCTGAGGAACTTGCTGTACGCGCCGTTAAAAATTAAAGTGAAAGTAGAGTACATACGGTTTTGAAAACATCCGATGAGTTCCGATTGTCACAACTGTTTACAAGTTGTCATGCACTAGTCTCGTATGGCAAATTGTCAAATACCATTTCCACTATGACAGCAAGGCAGTGTAAGTATGTCATATTTTTTGTATAAGCAATGTTTCTGTTTTTTATGCTGTTTGCCTACATTATAATCCGAATGTTCTCGGTAAAAAGTTTAATTCATGCATTGTTTATTGATCATGTTGATTGTAAATAACACCATGCAAACTTATACACTTCCCCTGACGTTAATTGTTCAAGGGAAATAGATGTTTCCATTTTTTTTATGAATAAAAATAACTATGTTTAATTTCTGGACTTGCTATTATCAACAAATGATAAAACAAAATTAAAAAGAATAACTGATTAATAAATATATGCACATTTTCATTCAATAAAATTTTAGATTTTGAAACAATATGTCATGTATGTAGGCCTATTTTTCCATGTACAGATGACACTGATTTGACATGAAACATGGCAACTCCAAAGAGGCAGTTTTCAAGATCTTTATCCAACAACAAATGGATGAAACTGTGGAAAAAATGGCAGAGGAAAGATGTTGTTGTTGTCAATGAACATCACCGTCGTTACAGAGCTCTGGAGTGTATCAGAGAGGGAATTCAGGACTTGTTTGACAAACATCCAGAACTTGGGGTTAAGGTAAATTAAGGTTTGATAATTACAAATAATACAGGGTACAAATTAGAATTGTTAAGCAAGAAATAAAAAAAATTATAGGTACACCAGACTTGAACCTGGGACAGCATTAATAGTACATTGGCCTGGGTAGCTCAGCTAGTGGTTATCTAGAGCACCTGGCTAGTGATGCAGGGGTCCCAGATTCAATTTCTGGGCCAGCCACACATTTCCTACTTTCAGTCTTATGTAGTGTGGTAGAGTTGACCACCAGAACTTGCAAGTGAAAGTTCTGCCAGGTGCAAGAAGAACCTGGGTTGTGTTGATCTTCGAGGGTGAAAAAACTTGAGGAGGGATTAATGTGTTGGTCAGACAGGTTCGATCAGAAGATAATTAGCTCAGCTGATAGAGCACCTGACTAGTGATTCCTTGGGCTAGAACCTTATTTGGTCTGTCACAGTTTTCTCCTTTTGGTTATGCTTTGTGCTATGCCATGCCCTGAACAGGAGTTAGACTTGTTAAGAAAGAGGTTGGGTTAGTGTCTTCAGGGGGGAGGGGGGTTAAAAACATTGATGGAGGGAGGAATGTAACACTCAGACAGGTGTGATTGCCAGTGGCCAGATGGTTCAGTTGGTAGGACTCTTGACCATTGATTCAGAAGACCCTGGTTCAAACCCTGGCCTGTTGCATTTTCTCCTCTCTGGTTACATGTAAAGATGATTTTATTGCTTCTTTTCTATTGAAATTATTGTGGAATATGTACTTGTGAAAATTTCATTACAACTATAGGCCTATAATGAATTAAAGGTTAAGAATATATTCTTGGACTATTGCACATGTATTCTTTTGATCTTTCTCAGGACCAACTGAAAGAAGAAGACTTTTGCCATATTCACAGCAAAACAATCAAAACTCATCAAGGAAAGGTAATATTACATACCAGTAAGACAAAGGAAACTATATTCAATTAAACATAAATGATCAATATTATACATGAACTGCAAAAAGTATTACGATGAATTTTTATTTAGCATTTATGAAAAAATATTAAAAGAAATTAACTTTATAAAATTTTTTAAATTTCCATTTCTAGAAATTTAAATTCCGGAGTTATGCTAGTTCTGTATTTTCCTGCATCAGAAGAGCCGTCTCGGTGTCTGACAAGGATTTCCTGTCGTCAGTTGCTCCAGATGACTTGGATTATATGGAATTTTTCAGTAATTCCAGAAGTGGACAGGATTTCTTTCTCAGGTGAATTTAAATTTGAATTTTAAATCAGATTTAAAAATCATTCAGAACTAGAAACACTAGCTATTCTCACATTTTTGTTTTAATTACTGGAAATCACATTTTGTTTTGGAGAACGTTATTTTTTAATATTTCTATCTAAAAGTCGTCTTTGTGTCAAGATCAAGTTTTCACTAACAGGGGAAGTAACTTGTAAAACTATTTTTGACACAAGTTTGTACATTTCAGTAATGATCAGCAGTTTATCCTGAAAACTGACAAGAAATACCATTTGGAATTCTTCATGTCAATTCTTGGGTAAAAATATTTTGACTGTTCTAACAAAATATCTAAAATTGATGAATTTGTGTAAGGCCATCTTTAAAATAATTATTTGCCTTCTCCCAATGATCTAGTTAAAACTGGCCCAACTCCCATCAATAATTATTTTCATAGTATTGATACTTTCAATTTAACATAATTTTTTCCCCAACTACCTGTCTAATTTTTTATCTCAAATCTGGAGATGGCAAACAAATATTTAGGAATGGTTTAAATGATTCCTCTATATTTCATTTGCCCTATACGTACATCATGTTCCAAATAATGTACAAGTATTTTTTTCACTAAATTGTGTAACATTATATGCATGCACTGTAGATTCCTTAATTTAGGCCAGAACTTCATAAGCAAAATTACTTGTATGCAAGAGAATGAATTCACCAAAAAAGAAGTGTAAGTCTGGAGTTGACTTATTGCTAACCTGAGAATCAGTTGAATTGATTAAGTTAATGACAATTAAGAAATGGTTATAAATACTGCTTTCATGCAATAAAAAGCACAGAAATATGGCAGTAAAAAGAATCTGCTGCTTGATGTTGAATTTTTTTGTTTCAGTGACTATCTGGAGCATTTTCAGAGATACCCACACTCACTCATTGTCAAATTCCTAGGACTGTATTCTATAAATGTATCTGGGCAACCCAAGGTAACACTATGGAAACTTAGTACATTGTAATGGCTACTGAAATTATTTTTAGCTCACCTGAGCCAAAAGCTTTATATTACACTTGTTTAAAATATTTTTCACATATGAATTTTTGATAGAAAAAATCATCAGTAGAAAAGAAAAAAAGGTAATGACACTGATTCTTAATTTGCATATTAATTATAGTGGTAGTTCTTTTTTGACAGCTAGAAAAAAGAGAATCATTTCATTTAAAGATTTTAATATTGTTAATAGTTGTAATTTAGGAATGAATTTTTTTCAGATGTATTTCCTTGTGATGCAAAATGTGTTCTTTCCCGTGGAAAGAATCGAGTCAAGGTTTGATTTGAAAGGATGTCTGGCTGGCAGGTATCAAAAGGTAATTAATCATAATTAATTGACCTGAAACATTTGTCATTGTTCTTCTGGAACAAAATTTGTTTTATATAATTGATTAAAAAAAATAAATCCAAATTACTATGTCAGACTCTCACATGCAATAATCACTTACTTATCAGTGTTGAAATAAAACAACTCTCTGTTCATCACTTTGCTGTGATAGGGATCTTGCTGTTTGTCTATCTGTCTGTCACTGTAATTGTTTCTGGGCTTTAAGTGTGGAAAGGGAAACTTCAACTTGGTACAAAGATTGTTTATGACCCAAGGATAATTCATGAACTTGACCCAAGGTCATAACAGCAATCTCAAGGTCACTGGCAGACAAAATATTAAATTTTTGTCTATTCTATAGCGTGTGACATGATCTTGACTCAAGGTACTTCTGGCAAGTTCAAGGTCATTGGCCAAAAAGATATAAAATTTTTGTTCAGTTCATTACTCTTTAAAGGATACATAATAGAAATTGAAACTCTAAATAAAGGTTATTCCTGAGCTGAAGATATATCATAACAATAATCTTAAACCAAGGTCATTGTGACAAGTTCAAGGTGGAAAGTGGGTAAAATTCAGATCTATTATTTCTTACACAGATCTGATGTCAATATTTCACTAAAAGATAACTTATGAGGACAGGATTTGCCCTGGAATACCGGTATTATACCAAGGTCATTTGGCAAGTTCTAGGTCTTACCCAGGTAATAGGAAAAAAAGGTTCATGACACTTTGAAAAATTGCAAAAGAGAGAGGGGGGGGGGGGGGGGGGGGGGGGGGGGTTGAGAGGTATAAGTTGTGATCCCTTTCCTAGTACCTATGGTTTTGATTAAAATTTGACATTTTAGCCCTACACAGAAGAAAAGGGAAGTCTCCATGTTCTGAAGGATCAGAATTTTTATCACGAGACGATAAACCTAGGTACGGAATTTCTTGTAAGAAATCGATAAAAAGAAAAGAATTCATTTTATCAAGAAATATCTCTCTAGAAATAAAATTAAACATTTCATAAAGAAAATCAAATCATTTATGAATTTTTCCAGTCAAATTGCTACTTGTACCTAGAAACATGTCTAAAACTATTATTAAGATGGACAAAAACTATACAAAAGAAAAATATTTTTACAGGAGGTCAGCGAGACTGGTTCCTGAGACAGCTACGCCATGACGTTAATTTTCTGCGGGAATTAGGTGTACAGGATTATAGTCTGCTTCTTGGTCGTCATGAACTCCACACTGACGATCAGCAGACGTCATTTGGAAATCTAGTGTACAGGATGAGAAAGTAAGTCTGCAATTCAGTGCTCTCACATTGATATTTATCACTGTCTTTGAACAGTGTTTCATGCATTTTTTGTCCAGTTACCAGTAAATAAGGGATTGGATACAAGATAAGTTGGTCTGGGACAAGGTATTGTGTCTCAGTCCTGTGCTTGAACCATCTAAGCCTTGTATCTTACTTAAAACATAGTTTGGGGATACTTTAACATGAGAGGATAATACTATTATAGAAGATCAAACAGTTGTGAGTGAGGTTGCAACTTTTTGATAAACATTTTCATACTAAATTAACGGTAATGAGTTTTTTTAAGTCCTCCCTCAGTATACTATTTGCTTATTATTTATTGTGTAAAAAGTAGGGATGTCAAAATATTTATTTTCCGTAGTCGAACATTTGATTGCATTAATCGAACGATAGTCGACTATTTGGAGCATTTGTTGAAAAAAAATCTCGTCAATAGCGTTTTTATAAATCAAAAGCCCTTTTCGTAAATTTATGTAAAAAGTGACATCAAATGCCTTTACTGTGTGTAACACACCGATATTCAGATGAACCTTAAGTTGGGATAAGATGTAGAAATGAAATAGATTTACACCAGCAATTGATTCTCTAAAATCAATAAATTTTCGTAAATCGCATTCATAAATTGGTCGTACATTCTTTCGTTCTAGTACGCTTAGAGAATTGTCCGCACAGTGTTTTTAAAGTTTATCTAAAATAAATTGGAAAAGGGGAGGAGATTATTATTTTAATAATTATCGAAGTTTCAGAACTTTATGGCTTTGCTGTGTTCCTATACATAATTTAAACATTCTTAGAGGTAATAAATAAATTTATAATTGGTACAAGTCCAATTAATAATTTTCAAAGTCCAGCAAAGCGCTGCATAATTTACTACAATAACAAACAAGAGGCCCATGGGCCTTATAGGTCACCTGAGCATTATGCAACAACTTTCCTGCAGTGATTGAATCTGATCCATGTTTTAAGCCAGATGCTATTATAATAGCATTTACAATTTTGATCATCATAACTATACACTTAGCAGTTGCTTAGTTTGGTTACTTAATACCCATAGGCAGGGTAAGGGAACAAAAAATGCATTTCAACAAATCAGTAATATTCAGCAATAATCAGTAGTGACTCTACCACACATGAACCCTTGAATCTTGCACAATTTTTAAAAAGGCATCCTTGCTTTTCAAAAATATTTGATTAATACCAAGGAGCAGATTTCAAACAATTCATTCATTTTCAGTATATAAGTACAGCCCCCCCCCCCTATGGTACTGCTGACCCTGGGGCCGTGAAATTCACAATTCTTGAAGATAAGGGCCTTTGCTCATAACTATATAGGTAGTTCATCTGCTTAATACACAGCACAAGAAGAAAAATTCAAAGATTTAATGTTTTTTCACTATACATGTGTAATCAATAGAGCCCCGCCCTAACACCAGAACCCCTGACCCTGGGGCCATAAAATTCACAATTTGGTAGAGGTACTCTTGCTCATCATAACTATGTTCTTAGTTAGTTTATTTAAAACATAGGAGTAGAGAAGAAGATTTTCAAAGAATTCATGTATTTTCACTATATAATCAATAGAGCCCCGCCCTAACACCAGAACCCCTGACCCTAGGGCCATAAAATTCACAATTTTGGTGGAGGCACTCTTGCTCATCGTAACTATGTACTTAGGTAGTTTATTTAATACCTAGGAGCAGAGAAGAAGATTTTCAAAGAATTCATGTATTTTCACTATATAATCAATAGAGCCCCGCCCTAACACCAGAACCCCTGACCCTGGGGCCATAAAATTCACAATTTTGGTAGAGGTACTCTTGCTCATCATAACTATGTTCTTAGTTAGTTTATTTAAAACATAGGAGCAGAGAAGAAGATTTTCAAAGAATTCATGTATTTTCACTATATAATCAATAGAGCCCCGCCCTAACACCAGAACCCTGACCCTGGGGCCATAAAATTCACAATTTTGGTAGAGGTACTCTTGCTCATCATAACTATGTACTTAGTTAGTTTATTTAAAACATAGGAGCAGAGAAGAAGATTTTCAGAGAATTCATGTATTTTCACTATATAATCAATAGAGCCCCGCCCTAACACTAGAAACCCTAACCCTGGGGCCCTAAAATTCACAATTTTGGTAGAGGCACTATTGCTCATCATAACTATGTACTTAGTTAGTTTATTTAATACACAGGAGCAGAGAAGAAGATTTTCAAAGAATTCATGCATTTTCACTATATAATCAATAGAGCCCCGCCCTAACACCAGAACCCCTGACCCTAGGGCCATAAAATTCACAATTTTGGTAGAGGCACTCTTGCTCATCATAACTATGTACTTAGGTAGTTTATTTAATACCTAGGAGCAGAGAAGAAGATTTTCAAAGAATTCATGTATTTTCACTATATAATCAATAGAGCCCCGCCCTAACACCAGAACCCCTGACCCTGGGGCCATAAAATTCACAATTTTGGTAGAGGTACTCTTGCTCATCATAACTATGTTCTTAGTTAGTTTATCTAAAACATAGGAGCAGAGAAGAAGATTTTCAAAGAATTCATGTATTTTCACTATATAATCAATAGAGCCCCGCCCTAACACCAGAACCCCTGACCCTGGGGCCATAAAATTCACAATTTTGGTAGAGGTACTCTTGCTCATCATAACTATGTACTTAGGTAGTTTATTTAAAACATAGGAGCAGAGAAGAAGATTTTCAAAGAATTCATGTATTTTCACTATATAATCAATAGAGCCCCGCCCTAACACTAGAAACCCTGACCCTGGGGCCCTAAAATTCACAATTTTGGTAGAGGCACTATTGCTCATCATAACCATGTACTTAGTTAGTTTATTTAATACACAGAAGCAGAGAAGAAGATTTTCAAAGAAATAATGCTTTTTCACTATATACTTATTTAGCCCCGCCCTAGCACAAGAACCCCTGACCCCAGGGCCATGAATTTCACAATTTTGGTAGAGGACTCAATGCTAATTACAATCATGCAAACAGTTTGACTGCTTGATGTCCAGGAGTAAAGAAGAAGATTTTTAAAGATTGCATTAATTTTACTGGTTTTGGCCCCACCCCCCAGGAGGGGGGCAGGGATCATGAAATTCACAATTTTTGTTCCCCCTCACCCATAGATGCTTTGTGCCAAATTTGATTGAAATTGGTTCAGTGGTTGCAGAGAAGAAGCTGAAAATGTTCAAAAGTTTACGACCGATTGACGACGAACGACGTACGACGGACGACGACGGACGAAAACAGATAGCAATAGGTCACCTGAGTGACTCAGGTGACCTAAAAAGGTCAGTAACTGAAAAATAATTATCGTGGTATGTAATTACTGTACTCTCCATGTGTACAATGTGGAAACTTATTTATATACTGTGACTGTATTGAAGCTTTTATATGTCTGAGGTCGGATACTATAATGGTTTGAGGAATGACGCTTTACAATTTTGAGCTGAAAATTCTTTAACACCTCCTTTTTGCATTTATTAAATATTCGATTGTCGTTTCATTATTCGATTGTCGGTCCATTCGACTGATAGTTGAATAGTCGACTATTCGTTGACATCCCTAGTAAAAAGGTACATGTATGACTGATGTCATGAATTTAACTTTGTCAATGTGAAGATTACATAAAATCTTGTACATATGAGTTACCTACATAATTATGTCCCCTTGAACAGATGAAAAATTAAGCCCCAAAAATTTATATGAATACAAGCATGTAGTTCATTTAAGTTTGTTCTTTCCTTGCTTGTAGATCTTTTGCTAAAAAGAAATCCTCCTCAATCTTGGACACGTCTCATCTGCATAATCAAGTCCACCCCTCAGATACCATCCCCGAAGAACACGAATCCCCCCGCCGCACTCGTCACAAGGATCTCAACAGAGCCTTCGCAGCAATCAAACCAACTACGACATCCACAAGTTTAGGCAGCTTGCTAGATTCCTCATCTCTAGACATGGACGAATCAGCAAATAGAAGACTTTTACTAGAATGCAAGAACCCTTTGCATGTAATTGATGGATCATGTGAGAGGTACTACATGGGCATCATTGACTTTTTTACCCAGTACGAGTGTAAACAGAGAGTCGCTCGGGTTCTGAAGGTGTGTAAGAATTGTTCGTGTGATCACTCTACGGTTCCGCCGGACATTTACGCCGAGAGATTTCTGAGATTTATTGAAGAGAGGACTATTTAATTTAATTGGTTAATAGTAGATTTTACCATATGGTATGTTATATTTCTATGCACTAACAAAAAATTCTCTTTATGATGCTGTAGGTATGTTTACATGCAGGGATAGGGGTTGATTTAACTATTTGATAGTGTATTTTGGAAGTGCACATTCCTGATATGAAATACTTTGCTCAACTAATCAGTGTTGTTGTAGATGTTTAAGGAACACATGTTTTAATACTAGTATTATTTTCCTTATATATTTCTGTACCAGTACTTGACTGCTAAAAAAAATTTCTTTTCTCATACACTGTGTCATTCACCAAGTAGGCATAGCAATCTGGTTAAACAAAGCAATCAATTTAAAGTTGGTATTTCCAATACATGTTTTGTTTTTAAAATGGATATTTTTTGCAAATGAGATTAATTAAACTATAAATACTTTCTTTTTGTGTATTTTTGTATTCACAATTTTTGTTTTTATGACGTCACAAACTAGTCTGATTTTATATTCTTTTTCAGAAAGAGGACAAAATGGACAAAATTTCAACAATTTTAGCTTTAAAATTTATAGAGCGCATGTGTGTTCAGGAACAATATTGACATATTTCATTGATATTATCATTCTACACATTATATCAAAATATTGTTTTACAAAAATTTGGTAAAATTCATAAAAAACTGAAATTTTCTAACCATGCATTTATTTATCTACTGAACTTAATATAATATATCTCCATCAAATATTCTGGAACTTCTAACCATGCATTTATTTATCTACTGAATATTCTGGAGCAGAGAAGAATTACTGCATTTTCACTGATCATTAGAGCCCCACCCAAACACCCCTGACCCAAGGGGTCATGAAATTCACATTAGTTTGTACAGAAGCAGAGGGAAAAAAATTTTAAAGGAATAAGGCAATCCATTGCACTAAACTGTATATAAATTTATCTAGATTTTTCCCCATCCAGGGCCCAGTAGGTTCCATAATTATTTTAGTTTCCAGGTACATGTACTGCAGGAAGCAAACAAGAGCTTGAGAGTCTGCTCATGTCATTCATCTGTGCTAAAAGTTTTTCTAGGTTTAGCCTTTCATACAAACTTAAAATGTTAAAGAAATGAATTATCTCCCTCCGACTCTTAAAGAAACCATGTATTGAATGTGTACAGACACTGTGGTACAATTTAATCCTAACAAGCCCTTATGCACAAGTACTTTAAGTTATTTCTAGTATTACTTGAAGCATAATAAAACTCCATGTATTTCCAAGAAAAAAAACCATACAGTCTTTCAATTCTTTTATTCAATTTTTGATAAAAGACAAAATATTTGATTTATAAGTATTTCCTCTTTTAACAAGCTGTTCTCTTCTATAGAATAAATTAACACAAAAATATTTCCACTGCTTTAAAATGTCTCTCATCAAATGACATTTACAAATAAATATGTGCACGCATTACCAGGGTTGAGATAAGCCCTGGTTCAGCATATGCTTTTAATAAGTACAGATTTATTGCACATGAGATATTTCAATCTCTGTACAGGAAGACGCGCTGAATTAACTATATCAGCTTCATTTATGATAAAAAAAAATTCAACAGATGTTCATGAAAATGTATCAAAATGTCTGTTTTCTACCAAATACACTTGGTCCCACTATATGAGTAAATGATTGCAGTAATTAAAAAAATGCATTTAAACTGAAGAAAGAGATAATGGTATAAATGCAGTGATTTAAATTAAGTGATCAAAAAAAAATATAATTAACACAACATGCGAAAAACAACACAAATTATATATGACATTGGCACATCAGATAAATTTGTCACTGTATAATACTGAAGCATGCTCCAGTTCTTTTAATACACTTATATATAAGACAAGATACCTTGTCTTACTTTAAATATCCAGACTTTTTTTTCCTAGATGAACTGCTGGCAGTGCAGGGACTACTGCAGGCATTATAATGAGTTAATTAATGGAAGATTTATGCTGCTGATTGTCTTTATCTTCTTGCACTCTGTTTACACATGAATACCAGTGTGTCACAAATGCTTCAATGTTTATGCATATTTCATCGATTAGAGAAACTGCACTGAACATTTTTCGGATGACGTTTTCCAGAGTTTGTTACTCACTGTTCCCCTACTGGTACACACGGTGCACCTGTTCGTGATTGTTATTTATCGGTATACACTGACGGGTCTCCTTTATATCCGCGAGACTTTTTTTGACTTTCGGATTTCTCTTCTGGTCCGGAATGCAGCAACTTTTTCTCAAAGTTTCCACGGGCATGCACCATTACTTTGGTAGTCTTTTTTACTGAAAAAATAAAACATTGGTATTAACTCAGATCTGCCAGATTCAAATACTGTATATCTCCTCTCCAACAAAAGAAGCTATAAATAAATATTATATAGCCTCGAAAAAACATTTAATTTAAAGAACAAGATTCATCAGCAAGATTAAAATGAGCAGTTTTCAATTTTCTTATTTTTCCAAGAGATTATACATCAGTCAATTTATTTATAAAGTATTGCATTTATTAAGTACCGAAGAGGAAAAAAAAGCTTATGGAATTTAATAAGAAAAATGCTAAGGGTGTGAGAGAAAAACAATGTTTGGCAAAATTAATGGTAGTCTGAAATCCATGAAAAAAGAATATCTATGCCAAGATAAATTATGAAATGGTGTGACTGATTTTCTGATGACACATGATGTAAAGGTGCCCAAGCAGATGATTTTCTAAAAGCCACACATATTGAAATTGAATACATTTATTGAGATCATATCAGTTTAGTTGAAGAAGTGGTTTTATGAAAGATGTTTTAAAAGCATGTTTCACTTCAAATAGAAAAAAATTTACTACTAGTACATGTAGTATGTTTAGGTAAAAGATTGACGAAAGTGTTGATGAAAAAAAAATTGTTTTAAAATGAAAACTAGCTCTTGATGATGTTAAATGGGGGGATGAGCACACACAAACTCCAGAGAAATGATTGGTGTCAACAAACCATGCAGTGCCTCCTGGTACCATGGCTAGGTTGAACTGACCAGAGCTTAAAATGCTGGTCAGTAACTTGTCGTCTGCAAAATGTTCAAGGCATGCATAATACAGACAAGACAAACTAACATGCAAAGATTCAAAACAATATTTGGTAGAAGGTATTGGTTATATAATATGTTAGGTATTTAGAAAACCCGGATTTACTAAATCAACCAAAAAAAATCTAGCAATTAAAAATATACAGTGTATTTATAAAAAACTTGGTAATTTTAGGTACAGATTACACACTCCACTAGTGAATAAAAAGGTTGAAATGAACCATCAGGATCCCTTAGGTCATATAAACATAGGTAATCAGAGATTACAGAGCTCACCTCAACGAATGTTGTCTTTAAGTAAGGCAAAGTCACACAACAAAAAGTGTACATCCAAAAATGAAAATATTCATGCAATTTTGATCTGATACTTTGAAATAGACCTATATAAAAAATTCAAACTAGTTCTTCATGAATATGTAATTAAAATCCAGCATCTGAAGCAAATTTGATAGTTTTCGTCCCTTGATGCACCATTTGGCAAGTTTGGTTTATACAATGTTATATAAGCCTTATAGCTTTTTGGTAATAGACCTGCACCCATAACTTTTACCTGGTCCATTATCTGAAAAATAAATGTCGAATTCAGCATCCGAAGCAAGTCCATTAGTGTGCATCCTAAGATGTATCCTCCATGCAAGTTTGATCATTAAAGAACTCATAGTTACATGTACTTGGAAACGAATCATGCACCAAAAACTTTAACCTGTTCACTCAACCAGAAAACGTAGGTCAGATTCAGCATCCGAAGCAAGCCTGGTAGTATGCATACTTAGACGTATCATCCATGCAAGTTAAGTCATTATAGGGCTCATAGTATCTTAGAAATGAGACCTGCACCAAAAAACTTTAACCTGTTTACTCAACCGGAAAACGTAGGTCAGATTCAGCATCCGAAGCAAGCCAGGTAGTATGCATCCTTAGATGTATCATCCATGCAAGTTTGGTCAACACAGGGCTTATAGTTACTTGGAAATTAAACCTGCACCAAAAACTTTAACCTATTCAGTTAACCGGAAAATGTAGGTCAGATTCAGCATCCGAAGCAAGCCTGGTAGTGTGCATCCTTAGATGTATCATCCTTGCAAGTTTCGTCAACATAGGGCTTATAGTTACTTGGAAATGAAATCTGCACCAAAAACTTTAACCTGTTCACTCACCCAGAAAATGTAGGTCAGATTCAGCATCCGAAGCAAGCCAGGTAGTATGCATCCTTAGATGTATCATCCATGCAAGTTTGGTCAACACAGGGCTTATAGTTACTTGGAAATCAAACCTGCACCAAAAACTTTCACCTGTTCACTCAACCTGAAAATGTAGGTCAGATTAAGCATCCGATGCAAGCTTGGTAGTATACATCCTTAGATGTATCATCCATGCAAGTTTGGTCAATATAGTGCTCATAGTTACTTGGAAATGAGACCTGCACCAAAAATTTAACCTGTTCACTCAACCGGAAAATGTAGGTCAGTTTCAGCATCCGAAGCAAGCTTGGTAGTATGCATCCTTAGATGTACCATCCATGCAAGTTTGGTCAACATAGGGCTTATAGTTCCTTGGAAATGAGACCTACACCAAATAGTGCACCAAAAATGTTAACCTGCTCCAAAAACATTAACCTGGTCATTCCTCTGCTGAAATTGCAGCATCTGAAACTTTGACTGGTACAATGAAACACACTAGAAGCATCTTCCATGCATGTCTAATCAATAAAGGACATAGAAGTACTTAAAAAGAAAACTGCTCCAAAAAACTTAACCTGGGACGCCGACACCGACGCCGACGCCGACACCGAGGGTATTACATAAGCTCCCCCAACTTCGTTGAGGTGAGCTAAAAACAATATGTATTAAAAAGATATATTTTAAATTCAACTGGAGTGCAACATTTGGTTAAACTTAAGGAATGAATGACAGAAAAAAAATATACACTGTATTCACAAAATAATGATATTATTTTATCTTTATCAACCTATTTTTTTTTTTAAATATGAAATTAAGGTTTGTTTCAAGACCTCCGTAATCGGAAGTTTTCAAGTTGAAGTATTAAGGGACTTTCTGCAAAATGGAATGGCATGCAACAATTACCACCTTTCCCAAGACATATTAGCACCTCTCTTAGAATGTTACAATGCTGTGTACTTACATTGCCTGTAGATGAAATCCTCCATGTTTTGTTTCTGTTGATTCGTGGCATGGAGTCTCTCCTCAGCACTCTGAACAAACTGAGTCAGAAACGAGTATTTGGACCGGATTGCTGTTATCTCATTTTTCAGGGATTCATTCTGAAAAGAAAAAAGAATTTCAATTTGAAAACTATATGATGAACTTTAATGACCATCATCTACAGTAATGAGTACAGTGAAACTTGCCTAATCAGGATGTTGTGAGTTCGGAAATCTTGCCCTATACAAAGTTAATTTTAAGTTTCTTTCAATAAATTCAACTGTTTAAAATGCTGTATAATCTGAAATGTCTAATCCAGTCAATTTCTTTGGATTCAATGGCGTCTACATTACTGTACTGTAAAGGGAGATAAGCCTGCCACACCATACTGATTCCAGATTTTTAAGGACGAAGTAGCCCTCCCTCAATCTCACCTCAAACATAAGCTTGGACTCCACGCCTTCCTTGGGGAGAGAGCTGGTCCAGAAACAGCTGAGGAGGGACTTTTCCTCATTCAGACAGATCCGTAGATTCTCCACACTCAGGGAGAGTTCCTTCAGGGTACTGTACTCCATACTCTACGAAGGGACAGAGGATGTAGTGTACATAGTCATTATACATTACCTCAAAACATAGCAATATGTGACATTATGGCAATATTTCATATCTTTGAATGAATATTCCATTGTTTTTATTTTCAGTTGCGAGCAATAATTATTTTCTATACTCAATATATACCAGTGTATTCATTTGCAGGAATTTTAATTCACAGGCTAAGTATTACACACTAGAAAGTTTAACAATATAAGAATACTCTCTCAGTTAAATATGTCATGCATTGTCATGCCAAAGACAAAACCTAGAGATATCTTTGGATGCATTATTTGTATGTATTACTATAATGCAAGACTTTCAAAGACATCAGAATTTAGTGAAGTTATGTACATGAGTATTTGAACAGACAAGAAAACTGAATGTATTCACAGGGGAAATTCCTCACTGTACACAGTTGAAGTCATCATGATGAAAAATATCACAAAGGTATAAATATAATATCTAGGGATGTCAAAATATTTATTTTCCTTAGTCGAACGTTAGATTGCATTATTCGAACGACAGTCGACTATTCGGAACATTTTTTTCAAATCTTAATTTCCGTTTTACTTTCGTTTGCATAGACTATGCAAGAGTTATCCTTCTTTGGTTTATGCATTACGTATGCTTTTGACAGATATTCACAGGCACTTGACTTGTAGCTATTATGTTTACATGAAACTATATTTATTTAGTTTTAATATGCATCAAAAACTACCAGCAAATATTTTGTTAAACTCATTTAAATAAAATAAGATAAACACAGTATCTACACGTCAGGTGCCCGTGTGACATTGTTAATAACGATTACAGTATTAACTTTAAAACAGTTAAATACCCTAGCTTACAACACTACAATGTATACGTGATTATCAAATTATCAAAACGTGTCTTGGCTACCGTATGTGAACCTTTGAATATTACTAAAATAACAATATTATGGATACATGGAATGTAAAGTCTTATTAACTGTGTTTTCATAATAATTCTACAAACAAAACCCAGCACAGTGATTCATAATTTATCAGAAAAACAATTGTTATTGACAATTATCAGATTATAGAAGAGCATTTATGCATTTATACATTGATAATGAAAAGTCAACAGTTTTTGTTCAGGAAAATAATTTTGTCAACAACCTCTGAAGACAGACGATTTCTCAATTTTGTGACGAGTAATCCCGCCGAAGAAAATATACGTTCTGAGGGCACTGATGTGGCAGGGGAGCCAAGGAATTTTCTGGCCAGTTTAGCGATGGATGGGAATTTGTTTTCATTCCCAAAACTGAACTGAAAATCTATGAAACCTAGACCTAATTGGGGGTTTGATTTTTCTGAAAGGTTCTTACGTAGTGAATAATACTCACAAATGAATAGCTAGTAATGACTTTGTAAAGAAAGATAACCCATGAACTTTTTCATAAATTTGTAATCAAGAGTTATCGCTCTTTTTTTATTGTATTTTATTTAGTCGATAGTCGGTCGCATTATTCGATAGTCGGTCCTTTCGATTGACAGTCGAATAGTCGACTATTCGTTGACATCCCTAATAATATCTCATACAAATGCAATATAATGAAATTGTTTTTTGTGTGATATAGGGTATACATATACATGATGAACATGCAAAACTAAAAACATGTAAACAAGACCCAAGACATCACCAAATACATGTACCAAACCCTCACTAGTGCATACATTTGCAGCATGCAATATACATGTATGAAATTTCTTATCTGACAGCAGGCAAAATTGCATGTACTTAATATGTATATATAGATACATTTTATATTCTTTATAAATCCCCAATGCATAATCTAAACCAATAATTCTGCATACTTCTAAACATGCATTAAAATTAAGGTCTGGTATGATTAGACATATTAGAAGCTGGGTAGGTACAATGTTTGAATACCAGTGAACAGGTTTACCTTGATGAACTGAAAAAATTGAATAACCTTTCAATTATTTAAGGGTTCACATATAAACACATAAGTAATTTCTTTACTTGGACAAAGTGTACACTTATAGCACCATTACCCACATAGATCATAATAAAATTGCAAAAAAACCTCCACCAACACAATGACGAAACTTGTTTTACGAATAAGTCTACAGGCTTACCTCCCTGGGAGACATATTGCGGAAGATCTTCAACCTGTCATTAATGCGGGCCTCGATTCCTCTAAGCACAACCACACATTCTCCGTTTTCTTTCTTCAGCTTTTCAAAATCATCCAGTTTTCCAATGGCAAACAGAGTTCTTAGATCTGAGTCCACCTTCTGGGATGTCATGTCTACAATTTTCAAGGTAGGAAAATAAGATATTCAAATTGCAGTCCATATAAAAGAATTTTATCACATATTGCATTGTCACAAACTAATTTTTAATTTAAACAATATTTTATCATGTATAAACATAACAGGATTGGACACCAGGCACTGCCTATACAAGTCCTCTCCATACAAAATAATAATGAATGAATGAATGAATGATGTGCATACTTTGTGTATTTCAAACGACGAGCCATTCAGAACATTCCAGGCAATATAAATAAGTCATACCAGCTAGTACACTGGGTGAGTCCTGTACGTAGTAGGACAGATTTCCGTCAGACTGGTGGAGCCTGGACGATGCCATACTGAGGTGTGTCCTATGGAAGGTACCCCCTGGACTAGACATACTCTCTAGGGCCTTCAGGGGATTGTCAGCTGTCAGCGGCCATGTGGCTATTCCAAATCCAGGTTTTCCCAGATCTGATGATGTTCCTAGGTTTTAACAAAAACAATTACATGTATTTGCAAACTGTAGACAAGGATACAAAACATTCCCAATAATTTCTTCTCAAATACTTGTTTTTTTATGACCTTGCCAAATCCATCATTTTTTTTTTTTTTGAACTAGCAAAACTTCATCAATTTACCGTATACAAAAAGAAATCATGACTTTAAATGTATAAATCACACTTTTTTTTTTGCAAACGTGTTAACCATCATTTAAAAATTCACTCTTCTGTACCTGAGGCACAATCGCTGATACATGAATCCTGAGACAGACTTTTCATGGAATCTTGATCAGCAGTGCCCCTCAGAATTTCTACAGACTCATGGTGACCTTTGAACCCACTCGACTTCTGCTCCATACTCGGCAGTCCATCGGGTGCATCCGTACCTAAAATATTTTAAGCAACAAACTTGATACCAGCTTCTTTCTTTTTTTAAATTAATCAACTTTTTACAGCACAAAAGCTTCTTTCCTTTTTGAAATCAATTTTTTTTAACACAAAAAAGAAGAGTTTACTGCACAAATGTGAAATTAAAATTATCAATTCTAAAGACCACAAACACTGCTCAATGAAAAGCAAATTCTCAATACCACTGTTTTAAGGACAAGCTGTTGACAACTTACTGTTAGATGTAACAGGACTGGGGTCTTTGACGTGGTAGATGTTTGTCTTTGATATCCTCTGTCGCTGACTCTTGGCGTTCAGATGTTCCTCTATTTTCTTCCTCAGTTCGTTGTTGGTCTCTATACACCTCTCCAGCTGAGTTCTAAGATGGCGGAGCTCTGTCAGGAACTCTCTCATGTCAAAGCTGTCCTGTTTGCCATTACTCCAGCCTACATTGATCAAAACATGAACAACAAATGTACAAAAAAAGTCACAAACCATCTCAATTATTAGCTACAATTTATCAAATTTCCTTGAATAAAAATTTCTTTGATTTCTGCTGTACAGTGGAAATTACAATTGGCTGTACATTTTGAAAAGCCGAAGTTTTTTTTTCTCCCTACCTTGATTTTCTGTGTTCTCCAGTTTTTCGTAGACACTTAATTCCAGCTTCAGAGTTTTGTTCAGATCTTTGTTTTCCTGGACTTGATCTCTCAGAGTCCTCATTTCTTCTTTTAATCTGCAATAGATTCATATTAGATTATTCTACAGGTATTTATAGAATTGCATTTTACAGAGTCATATAATTTTTGGCAGGAATTTCACAATCAAGCAGTTAATTGATGACACTGTACCTTTTGATCTCTTTGGACGACTTTTTAAGGTTCTCGTCCAGCCTGTCCCTGATCTGCTGTAGTTTGTAGTTGGTTTTGTCTTTCTCTGTCAACCATTGTTCCTGCTGCTTCATCTTCTTGTTCTGGGAGCTGACCATCTTCTCCAGCTTCTCCACTTTGTCCCTCAGGACCTGTATCCCCGCCCCCTCCTGGTCCCCCACTGAACCCTCAGCGCCCCTCTGTAAGTGGCGGAGTTGGCCGGTCACCGTCTCTAGTTCCTCATCCAGTGAGCGGTAACTCTTATCCTTCTGGTCTATCAGTTCTTTCTGTTTATCTATCTGCAGGTCCTGCTGCTGTAGAAGCTCATATTGCTTCTCTAATGTTGACTCTTTGCAGGCTAAATTATCCCTAACCTGTGTAGGTCACAAAATGCAAAGATTCAATGTATGGTACCCAAAAATCATGAACAAACTGTTGATGAAACACATTTTCAAAATAAAGTCCTTTAGATAAAATTTGCACCAAATTACTAAATAACTAAGCTTCTTGATATGGATTCTTTTTTTTTTTTTGGCTGTAAAAGAAGTCCCCCTACGACCCTAACTAACCTCTGCCAGCAGAAGTTCCTGTTTCTGGATGACCTCGTACTGTTCCTTCAGTTTGGACTCCTGTTGATGGAGACTCTCCACCTGTAGATCCAGTTTCTCCTTCAGCTGCTGTATCGCCTCGTCCTGCTTCTCTATCCTCCTCTGCTGCACCACTAACGTCTGCTGACTGCACCGCGTCTGCTCCTCCTTCTCCTGTAAGACTTCCCCGATCCTCTTCTCTTTCTCGGAGATGACGGTTTTGGATTCGTGGATGATCCTCTCTTTTTCTCTGATGATGGTGATTTTCTCGGTGATGCTGTTTTCTTTCTCTCGTAACTGTGTCTTCAGCTTGTCGATGACTCTTTGTAACTCGTTTATATGGGCTTGATGTTGGCTGTACATATACACATTTGTAGTATTACCTGTGTTGTAAAAAATTCCAAGTTAATCTAGTGGTCATGGAAAACATGTTGCCTGCAGTTGGCATTTTTTGTGAACATTCGAGAAAACAACTTTTTTTCATTGACAATATTCTTTTAATTTACAGCAACATTTCACATTTAAATTTTATCTAAAAAAAGAAAAATTTTCAAATTGTTAAATTGTTTATGTTTTTTCCAATCAAAGCAGCTCAATTCACTGCATGTAAAATTTGCAGACTTACTTGATGTATGGGACTCATCCATATCCTGCTGTAACTTCTGGCTCAGCTTCTCGCTGTCTTTCAGGGACTTCTCCAGCTTGATTCGCAGGGCTCGGATTTCCGCCAGGTGCTCCCTCAGCAGATCTCCATCCTCTGATGATTTCCGTGGAGACTTCCTAGGTGAGCTCTGAATACCAATGGATGAACACAAGTTTTCGTAGGCCTGAAGTTCATCCTTCAGGGTCTTGTTCAAGTCCTCCATCACGTTTAATCGTGATTTCAACTGCTGGTTCTCACACTGAACAGTCACACTCCTGTTCATGAAACTTGATCGCTGAGTCACTCGAGTGTCATCCAACTCACTGTACCTGCTCACATTTTCAAAGAAATCCCTATTTTCCATGAAAGTCATCTCACCATGTCCGTTCACGGGCAGACTCTGATCAAACATGTCTCGATCAGCAAATCTGGCATTCCCGTACAAACGCTCATCAGAGTTAAAAGTATACAGTCCTAGAGGGGTAGTGACATTGGGTCCAAAGTCCACCTGATCAGCCTTACCACTGACTGGTTCTTTGTGAGAATGCACAGAACCTTGTGTATGTGTGGATGTCACTGTGGTGTCCTGCACCTCTATATCATCAGAAGACCTCCTAGAACTCTGAGTCCTCTCACTACTGTGTCTCACTTTCTCTATAGAAATCTCGTGATCCCCAGGCAGTCTGTTTGATGTCTGAGAAGCAGGAGACAGACTGTCTCTAAGGAAGACATCCCTTGGTCTCTGGTGACGGCTTTCGAAGACATTTCCGTCAGCTGCACTCGTACCAGAAGTGGAGGATCCCTTTCCATAGTCCTGCCAGTTCAGTAACTGCCTCTGAGCTATCAGTAGATTGGTGTTTAATCTATCAATGAAAGCTTTCTTTTCTTCCAGTTCCTCTTTCAATGAGTTTATTTCTGTTTCTTTGACTTCCAACTCTGCAGCAAGTCTGAAAAATATGAAGATCAAATTAAATATAAAAGGTTTTTTACAACATTTTCAACCAGACTTAACTTTCAGGATTTCATTTTTTGTTTTAAATACCTTTTTGCCTCTCTCTTTGGAGATTTCACTGGTGAATGACTTCCACTTAAAAGTTTACCTCCTTCATTCCCTGAGTCATCACTATCTGAATCTGAAAAAATAACATGTAATCATTTCATTGATGTTTTATCACGAAGATACTCCACTTAATACATCTAAGAAGTTCATACTTTGTTAATCAAAATGCAATTTCTCCTTACCTAGAAGATGTGTGAGTGACTTAGCCACCTTTTGTGTCTGTTGGACTTTCAGTTTGATGCTGCCATACCCTTCTTCCGTTAGCCCATCCAGATACACACTCAACTCACCCAACCAACGATTTAACTGAACACATGAATTCTGTGAATCACACAACCTTTTTCTTAAAACAGCTATCTCATCTCTCTGCAGTTCCAGCACTTCTTGCATAGAAGACCCTTGATAAGACTTCAGCTGCTTTTCCAGGGCCACAATTGTCTCTCTGCTCTGTCCGAGCTGGAATTTTAACTCTGCGATGGTTTGGTCTGAGTGTTGCTTGGCCTGGAGTTTTTGCTGCAGTTCAGAGTTGTTGTTCTTGGTCTCCTGCAGGCTTTGTTGTAAGTAGGTCATCCTCTCCTGAAGGTCCAGTAAGGTCTGGGAGGGAAGCAGCGTGCTCTCCTGGGAACCCTCACTACTGTCACTGCCCTGCTGGGGGAAAAGGGGAAAAACCCATTATAAAAGAAATATATTAAAAACTTCAAACAATGCATTATAGTTATTCTATAGTATATAAAAATATCAGATAAGCTTAAACCAACCTATCGCTCCTGAAGCTCACATTTGATCATCCAAGTTTACTGGCCCCAGAGCCTGGTATAATGTTAAATTGGGTAAAAATAGGTAAAAATTGCTTACGTGTCTCTTCTGCCCTTCTAAATCAGATTTCCCCACAGCATTCAGCTGCTCTATTGACATGGCTCTTTTTCGGACAGGTATCTTGGAGGTAGTTGCCGTGGCAGCAGCCAGGTTGGTCTCACTATGAGAGCGGCTGATGCATGGACTTTTGGCCATCAGGCCATGTTCTTCCAGGATGGATTTGTAGTGCTTCATTTTTTGTGTCTGAATTCTGACTGTCCCCTCAGTAGCCTCTAACTTGGCCTCCAGGTCACTGATTCTATTTTTAGACTCAGACAACATTTCTCTGAGGATTTCTGGTTTCTGAAGATGAGAGAGATCCCCGTTGACAGGATGTCCAGGTTTGTGGAGCCTGGGTATCTGACTAGGGACCTTTTTGTTTTGACACTTCAGATCGGTTGATTTGGGCCCAAGGGGTGGCATCATACCACTCCAAGCCACTGTTTGACTGAATTTATCCAATTTTTCTTTCTGCGATTTTAAGGAACTGTCAATTTGTTCTTGCAGAGAAGAGACTTTATCCAGCGCATTCCTGTAATCGTTTCTCAGTTTGACATTTTCCCTCTGTAGATCAGGCACATAGGGAAGTTCAGTATATTTACAAGGCATGTCCTTGTCCAATCCAAACTTCTGCCGTAACACCTTCAGATCAATCTCTACCGCTGCCAATTTGCCTTTCAAGCTCTGAACCTCCATTCTGAGATGAGGAACACTGTTGAAGTCGTCCTCGTTTGTCCCAGGAATTTCCCGAGCGTTCACCCTCTGCGAGAGGTTCAACCTTTCTTGCAGTTCGTCTTTCTCGCGGGCAGAACTATCCAGCTGTTTCTGGATCTGCCTGATGTACCTCCGCAACATAGGGGCGCTCATGTCAGACAGCGTCTGCCGATTCAGGGGGACGTCAAACTCCGGTGAAGAAGAGGAGGAACTTGAACTAGACGCCATGCTCCATCGTGTCTCGCTCCGCGGCGATGTCTGTCCCGACACAGGCATGGCATCATGGTCCCTGTGGCTATACTTGATGTCATACAACTGGGCCAACAGTGTGTTATTTTCCACTTTTTTCTGTTCCAGCTCCCTCTTTAAAGAATCTAAGTCCGAGTTCAGCTCACTCATAATTCCCGTTGTATAATCTACATTCATAAAATAAAAAAATCACAATATTATACAATTATATCCTTTTGATGAGGTCAATCCCTAGATATATAGACCTTAGAGAAAGCATATCGACCCAACACGAAGCATACATACTAGCGCACATGTATTTAGATGATTAGTTTCTACATTTCATATAAATGAAATCCTTAATTCCTTGAGTTCAAATTTATCCATACTTAACTAGATAATTCCCCCTTTTAAATACCAGGATCCCCATATTAAAATGTCCAGTGAGATCTGATTAAAGATCAAAAATGTTTAAAAGCCTCTTCTATCTCTATTGGCAAACTAATTATTATCATGTACATTGTATACAAAGCAGGATTGATGGAATAAATCTCCTCAATTTATCATTAATCTGTAATACTTCAAACAATCTGTTTTCTTAACACTAAAATCCTTTCTCATAAATTTGAGTGATAAAACTTTAAAAACTTTCAATACAAGCATAATCCATCATGTCCAAATTACGTTTATTTTCTTTCAAAATCTCCCCCCCCCCCCATATCATTTTGAAAAGTTCAAACTTGCATAAAAATGCATGTAGATATTCTATAGAGTGCTGATTTTTAAAAACTCTTTGGTTTAAAATTTAATTGTATTATATTATAAAAAGTGAAATTTTTTTTTTCCTACAAAAAAGTCTTTAACATATCCTCTGAATATACCCTTGCATTCAATATTTTTTTTAAATATAATTCCCCCCCCCCAAAAAAAATGCATTTGGCCAAAAAGTATAACTTCATTATAAGCTTATCGGTAAAATATAAAAAACATATTTTTTCCTCCTTAAGATTAGAGAGTTAAAACGAAGCTGATATTAAAAAAAATCCAACAAAAAATTCAAAGTAAAATTTTCTCACCATCAGTAAACCTTCTATTATACAGTAAGTACTGCTGTTCCAAGTTTAGAGTCATTTTGTTATTTTTGTCCAAAACCTCCTCCAAATCTCTTCGCAAATCTCGCACGGTCTTTAATTCCTTGCACAAATCCTCATGGATTGCACTAAAAAATTATTGCATCATCAATATCATATTTGCACCATTATCACAACCTCTTTGCAAAAGAATCCTATCTCATTATTTGAATGCTTCGAGTCCACTATTTGTATAAAAAATGCATAAGGGGAGGAGTTTTGATAAATGCGTAATGCATTTTTGTTAATTTTAAGTCCTTGCGCTCTAAGCTGATTGGATGTCCTACTCAGACCAAAGAACTACTCTGCCCATGTTGGTCTTATAGATATTAATATTTTAAAAGCCTGAGAACCTAAAATAAGATAATCTTGTTAACTGCCATAATATTAGTCCAACACTGAGATGAACTATTTTTCTAGAGATTATACGCACAATTTCATCTTTTAGAAAAAAATCAACACATTAAAACTGACCCCGACCATTACCTACTTAAAAATTGTAAGTATACATTGTTAATGTCCGATCTTTTAGAAAAAATCTCTTCGGTTACTTTAACTATCATAATACAAATGATAGGATTAAAACCAATCATAGAACAGCAGGCTCCAAATTTATATAGCAAACCATTAATCCTGGGTCAGTCTGATCCCCATATACGCACATCTAATCATTTCTGCAATTTTTTTTTTTCATGAAAGTAAAGCAAGTGTGAGAGGGAAAACTGAAGCCCATAATATTGAAAACTGTAAAGTTAACCTGTTAGTTAATCCCTCCTCCCAACCTTTTGATACATGTAAGGTCTCGACCCAATTTTGATCAAATAAAAGAACTATAATATATAATAAACAAGAGGCCCACGGGCCTTATAGGTCACCTGAGTATTGTGCAACAACTTTCAAACAATTAAATTTGGTTCGTGTTTTAAACCAGATGCCATGAAATTTGCAATTCACAATTTTGAAAGAGGTACCATTGCTTATCATAATTATAGACTTAGCATGCTTACTCAATTTACTTAATACCCAGAGGTAGATCAGAGTAACATTACCAGAAAATGCACTTCCTCTTTATAACCAGTTGTGCACCTCATCCCAAAGGAACCACTGATCCTGGGGCCACATATTTCAAAATTTTGCAAATTTTATCATAAAATGGTTGATTAATACCAAAGAGCAGATTTCAAAGCATTAATTTATTTTCAGACTTTGTACCCCCCCCCCCCCGACCCAGGGAGGGGGGGGGGCATAAAAAATAACCATTTTGCTATGTGCACCTTTCTTCATCATAAATATATTTGGATCATTGGCATAAAAACCAGGAGCAAAGGAAAGATTTTCAAAGAATTAATGTATTTTCTCTATATAATCAATAGAGCCCCGTCCTAACACCAGAACCCATGACCCTGGGGCCATGAAATTCACAATTTTGGAAGAGGCACTCTTGCTTATCATAACTATGTGCTTAGTTAGTTTATTTAATATGCAGGAGCACAGAAGAAGATTTTTAAAACAATTAATGCATTTTCACTATATGATCAATAGAGCCCAGCCCTAACATCAGAACCCCTGACCCTGGGGCCATAAAATTCACAATTTTGAAAGAGGCACTCTTGATCAACATAACTATTTACTTACATAGTTTATTTAATACCCAGAAGCAGAAAAGAAGACTTTCAAAGAATTAATGCATTTTCACTATATAAATCAATAGAGCCCCGCCCTTACACCAGAACCCCTGACCCTGGGGCCATAAAATTCACAATTCTGGATGAGGCACTCTTGCTCATCATAACTATGTGCTTAGTTAGTTTATTTAATACCCAGAAGTAGAGAAAAAGATTTTCAAAGAATAAATGCATTTTCACTATATAACCAATAGAGCCCCGCCCTAACACCAGAACCCCTGACCCTGGGTCATAAAATTCACAATTTTGAAAGAGGCAATCTTGCTCATCATAACTATGTGCTTAGTTAGTTTATTTAATACCCAGAAGTAGAGAAGAAGACTTGTAAAGAATAAATGCATTTTCACTATATAACCAATAGAGCCCCGCCCTAACACCAGAACCCATGACCCTGGGGTCATAAAATTCATAATTTTGAAAGAGGCACTCTTGCTCATCATAACTATGTGCTTAGTTAGTTTATTTAATACCCAGAAGTAGAGAAGAAGATTTTCAAAGAATAAATGCATTTTCACTATATAACCAATAGAGCCCCGCCCTAGCACTAGAACCCCTGACCCTGGGGCCATGAATTTCACAATTTAAGTAGAGGACTCAATGCTCATTACATTCATGCCAACAGTTTGCCTGCTTGATGTCCAGGAGTAAAGAAGATTTTTAAAGATTGCAATAATTTTAGTGGTTTTGGCTCCACCCCTCAGGCCCCAGGGGGGCGGGGACCAGGAAATTCACAATTTTTGTTCCCCTTCACCCATAGATGCTGTATACCAAATTTGGTTGAAATTGGTTCAGTGGTTTCAGAGAAAATGTTAACACACGACGCACGACGACGGATAGCAATAGGTCACCCGAGTTACTCAGGTGACCTAAAAATATAAACAAGAGGCCTATGGGCCACATCGCTCACCTGAGCACATGGGCTAGTTAAAAAACCAAAATCAACTTATTATTGAAAAGCTTACTTGTTGGATGAGGGGGATTTGTTTTCTATTAATAACTTGAAAATGTCAATATATCAATAAACCATACAAAAGTCATGTAAAATTTTGACATACTTGAAAAGAAGATTTTTAAAGATTTTTTCCTATATATTACTCGATCTCCCATTGTGACCCCCAACCCCCCAGACAATTTTTGAATAAATTTAAATCTTCGCTACTTGCTGATGCTTGTATGTCAATTTGACAAAACTTTTCTGTTCTCGAGAAGATTTTTTCCTATATATTCCTATGTAAAATTTTGATCAGCCATTGTGACCCCGCCCTACCCTGGGGGTCATGATTTGAACAAACTGGAATCTACACTACCTGAGGATGTTTCCACATGAGTTTCATCTTGCCTAACCAAATGGATCTGGAGAAGATTTTTAAAGATTTTCCATATATATTCCTATGTAAAACTTTGATCGGCTATTGTGGCCATGCCCTACCCCCTGGGGTCATGATTTGAACAAACTTGAATCTACACTACCTGAGGATGATTCCATATGAGTTTCATCTTTCCTAGCCTAATGGTTCTGGATAGGAAGATTTTTAAAAGATTTTCCCTATATATTCCTATGTAAAACTTTGATCGGCTATTGTGGTCCCGCCCTACCCCCGGGGGTCATGATTTGAACAAATTTGAATCTACACTACCTGAGGATGCTTCCACATGAGATTCTTCTTTCCTAGCCTAATTGTTCTGGAGAAGAAGATTTTTAAAAGATTTTCCCTATATATTCCTATGTAAAACTTTGATCGGCCATTGTGGCCCCGCCCTACCCCCGGGGGTCATGATTTGAACAAACTTGAATCTACACTACATGAGGATGATTCCACATGAGTTTCATCTTTCCTAGTCCAATGGTTCTGGAGAAGAAGATTTTTAAAAGATTTTCCCTATATATTCCTATGTAAAACTTTGATCGGCCATTGTGGCCCCGCCCTACCCCCAGGGGTCATGATTTGAACAAACTTGAATCTACATTACCTGAGAATGATTTCACATGAGTTTCATCTTTCCTAGTCCAATGGTTCTGGAGAAGAAGATTTTTAAAGATTTTCCCTATATATTTCTATGTAAAACTTTGATCGGCCATTGTTGCCCAGCCCTACCCCCGCGGGTCATGATTTGAACAAACTTGAATCTACACTATCTGAGGATGATTCCACATGAGTTTCATCTTTCCTGGCCCAATGGTTCTGGAGAAGAAGATTTTTCAAAGATACCATTAATTTTTCATTTCATTATTATCTCCCCTTGGAAAAGGGCTTGGCCCTTCATTTGAACAAACTTGAATCCCCTTCACCCAAGGATGCTTTGTGCCAAGTTTGAGCTGAAAATTGGGGGGGTGGTTCTTGAGCACCTTCGAAAATGTCTTAATTATAGACCATATCAGTTTTGAAAATAAATTTTTGGGGAAAAATGAGATTATTTTTAAATTTTAAGAAAAGCATGTCTGCAGGTCTGCATTTTCACCTTCCTTTACTCTCCAACTTTTTTTTCAAAACCATATGTTAACTCGCAGTTTGAAATTTTAAGAAACATTTTTGTTTTTAATTAACACAACATACCATTTTTGTTTAAATTGCGCACCTGTGAAGGTTTTATTTCTTGCAGACAGGTCAAACTGCTAAGGAGATTAGAAGAAATTTCTTTAATTAGATTTAACAAAAGCCATCGTGGAACTGACTGGGCCAAATTGGGGCCACTCAGGAGTTACTGATCAGTTAATTAAAATCAGTTTGTTACAATTTTTTCTTATACACGTTCAGCTGTACTTTATATTGAATAACCATGCCTTTGGTCCTAAATACTGTAAAATCACATATTTTTGTGTTTGGTTAACTTACCCAACTTTCCAATTGATTACTAGTACATATTCATTCTTTATAAATTCAAATTGAAAAGAAATTTTTAAAATTTAAAGCAATCCATCTTTACATTTGCATAGTGTTTTTTGTAAGTTTTTAAAATGTGACTACAAATCCTAAATGCTGATAATTAGCATATTTTGGAGTGAAAATTATTTTTGGAAGGGGAGGGAGGGAGATTCATTTGATTGTTAGATGTTCCTATTAAGAATCTTTCACAAGACACCAAAAATAAATATTTACATTTGCTGTATTTTAGATAAAACCAGTCTGTAAATTTTTTTCAAAATTCCAGTTTTGAGTGTACAGTCTCTTTTTTAAGCTCCTGTAATCGAAGATTCCGGGGGCACAGTAAAATTTGTTTGTTACGAACAAGGATATTGTGAATTCATGGATATAGCGAAGTTATCTTGGATCCCCAGCTATATAAATTAACGAATTCCTTATACAGATATAATGAATTACAGATAAAGTAAAGCAATTTCAAAGGTCCCAGTGACTTCGTTATAACCGAGTTTTACTGTATATAGTTTTTGTCATGTCTGTCTG